TCGATGACAATCTCCGAACACGCGCGTACACGAACTCTATCGATGTTTACATCGTAGAGACTGCAAAACACGTCACGGCAGAGACATCACTAGCTGGGAAATGCCGGACGCTGGGATGGCGCCTTGCGCCGCGCTCGCTGCTACACTGGTCTCTCACCCGCGCGCGTGCTCCCCATGTGTCGTCTATGTGGTCTCATACCCCGCGCGCCTGCTCCCCATGTGTCGTCTATGTGGTCTCATACCCCGCGCGCGTGCTCCTCATATGTCGTCTATGTGGTCTCACACCCCACGCACGTGCTCCTCATGTGTCTTTTATGTGGCCTCATACCCAGTGCGCGTGGTATCCATATGTCGTCTGTGTGGTCTTATACCCCGTGCGCTTGCTGCCCATCTGTCGTCTATTCATGTGCTGTGGGTAGATGTAATGGACCTCCTTAAGGCTGTTTGTGATACACGCTGTGTTGTTTGTTGTCATGGTCATCGGCAGCTAATCTCTTGGCGTCCTTTGTCAGTTTCCCGGGACTGCCGTCAGTTCCAGCGGTATGACGGGTAGAGGAGTCTTGCTGACTCGCTGCGCGTACTTCACAGGAACGATGCGCCTACTCGCCATCGTGATCCTCCTGTTCTCCGCCACGGCGGCCACGGACGACGACGAGGATGACATCGTCGACCTGTACGCAAAGGACGACGCCGTCGTGCACATGGACCACACCAACTTCGACAGCCTGCTGTACGGCAAGCAGCACGTCTGGGTGGTGGAGTTCTACACACAGCTGGTGCGGCCACTGCCTGTACGCGCCCACCTGGCACCGCGTGGCCCAGCAGACGGCCAGTGAGTGGCAGCCACGCTCTCCGCGGCGGCGGAACGGGTCCGGCCCCCGGCTGGACGACCAGGCCCCTCCGCAGCGGCTTCACCGGTCTGGCGCTTGACCATGGGCGTGGCCGGTGCCGGCATCGCACGCTGCCGAGTCGAGCCGTGCGGTCTTCCCGTAGTCGTCGGACTGTTACATCCGTGTAGGTCTGGGGGATGCTGCTTTCACACGCATTGCTTTTGTTGTGTTTTGTTTATCAGGTCGTCTGCACTGTCGTTTTGGCGCATTATCCACGTCTCTGGGAGTGATATGTTTGAGTCATGCGGCCCAAAAATGCTGCATTTTGATTGGTTTTAATGGAGAGAAAGTGAATGGTCCAAATAGTGTTTTCTTTATTGTGAAGTGGTTTTTCGTAGTGCAGGCAGGTGCCATTAACGTTAGTATTTTTGGTGGTGCCTTGTTCTTTTCAACCATGTGTTTTCTTTCAGAAGCAACCGTGGTTTCCACCTGTGCTCATTAGTTGTCTGCTTGTTTACAGAATGGGACCGCGTGGTGAAAGTAGGAGCCATCAACTGCGCGCGTTCTGAGAACCTGGCCCTCTGTCGGAACTTCGATATCGGAGGCTACCCCTGGATCAAAATGTTTAAGCCTCTAGCGAAGGAAGGTGATATTGGCAAGATGAAGAAGCACAAACCCCTGGAGGAGATGCTGGACGTGATCGTTGACTATGTGACTGAAGTGCAAAGTGCTAGTCATCCTCCGCTCTGGCCCAACCTGGCGCCTTTCCAGTAAGTAACAGTCTGGATCCGTCGTCTAATGCAATGCGTGTTCCGTGACGTTTTAGATGATGACTTGAGTCAGCTGTCGGCCGCGCTGTGGTGCACCGCTCGGTGCAGCATCGCACCACGTGTATGTTGGGAGTGGCCCGTGTGAGACCAGGTGCTGGGACGAGCACCCGCTCCTGTAACCGCGAGCTCGGCTGACAGCGTGACGGCTGAGTCGAGTCGGTGGTGCCGCTGTGCTCTGGTGCCTCCGCTGACTCGCAGTGTTCGACTCGCGTGAGAGTCCCGACGACTCGGGATCAGCTCGTCGCCCGGCGACTTCGCAGTCGCGCGCGCGCTGACCGCCCCTCCTTCGGCAGGGGCTCACTCTCGGACATCATCGGCTCGCCGCAGCCAGTGCACGCATCGTGCTGGACAAATCCGCCGAGAGCCACGTCGGCCGCCAGCTGATCCTCGACCTGAGCAGCCAGGAGCAGCGGCTAAAGCTGGTGCGCGTGCTTCAGCCGCCAGCTGGCTTGACGCTGAAAGAGACGGCGCGCCCTCTGCTGGTGACTTACCGGCGAGGCGCGCGCGAAGTGCTCGCCTCGCATGACGGCCTGCCGCCGCGCCGCGTGTTCGGCGACGCGCTGCGCGCGCTCGGCCTGGCCGCCGAGGAGGTGCCGGCCAACGGCACCGTGTCCACCGCCGACCCGGTGGGTCGGCCGGCGCCGCTCGCCGCCGACGACGGCGTCTTCATGGTCGACCTGGAGAACACCGTCGGCTACGCGCTGCAGCATGAGGTTGTGGGCCGCAAGCTGATCGCCGGCGAGCAGTTGGCGGCGTTACGCGAGTTCGTGCAGCTGCTGGTGACGCACCTGCCCGGCCGGCGGTCGGTGATGCAGGCTCTGACGGGCGTCAGCGCCCTGCTGAAGGGCCGCCAGCAGATCAGCGGCGAGGACCTGCAGCAACATTTGGCGGCGGCCGAGCACCGGCTGCCGGCGCACCGGCCGTGGCGCGGCTGCCGCGGCTCCGACAGCCCCAGTTTCCGCGGCTACCCGTGCGGTCTCTGGTCGCTGTTCCACACGCTGACGGGTGCATGCGCACCAGCAGGACCCGGCCGGCGCCGCCAGCGTACTGCCCGCCATACACGGCTACGTCAAGCACTTCTTCAGCTGCGCTCACTGCTCCAGGTGAGTGGGGGCGTCCCTGCTCCTCCTGAGTGGCGCGACGGTGTGGCGTGGTCGTGCTCCCGAGTCATCTTTTGAAAATGTGCTTTTTGAAACACACGTATTTGAAGTGGGGCTGGCTGTGTATTGCTTAGTCATCCAGGAGGTTGCATGCACGGTATAGCTTTACCCGAAATTTCACAGATCGGCCAGTCCCAAACGGACACCGGAATTTGTTTACTGTGCACTGATTTATACTGGGCTGCGCCTGCAGTTCCCAGCGTGGGTCAGGAGTGTTGTCGTCTGTGGCGTGTTACATATGCCGAGCGAGTCGGACTGTGCCGTGTCCCGCTCGCCGTGCACCCGCCGTTCGGTGGTTAGCCCCGACGCCCGGCCGTTGCAGCACTTCCAGGAGATGGCCGCGCACGACGGCCTGTTTAATGTGACGCGCGCCGACCGCGCGGGCCGTCTGGCTGTGGACGGCGCACAACAAGGTCAACAAGCGACTGGCCGGCGACGCCACCGAAGACCCTCGCCACCCGAAGTTGCAGTTCCCGACCAGGAAGCAGTGCCAGGCCTGCTTCAGCGGCGACGAGTACTATCCGGCCATCGTGCTCTCCTTCCTCGGCAGCTTCTACGGCCAGGACGTGATCCAGCTGGACGGGCTGTCGACGAACGCGCCGGTGGCGGCGTCGGCGTCGGCGGACGCCGCGGCAGCACGGGTAAATAAGTCGGCGGGCGCGGCGCCCGTCAGCCTGGCAGGTCTCTATCTGCTGCACCACCACGTCGCGGGGATGAAACTGTGACACGGCACCTGCCGTGTGGGGACAGACGGCCAGTGGAACTGTCAGGAAAACAGGTTACAGCAGATCACGTTTGAAGGCCAAATTTACTCGCTGATGACATTGTGGCCCGCTTCGATCATCCTTCATGGGCTCTGACATCTGACGTACAGCATTTGAACCGTTGAAAGCGCGAAATAATTTTATCCGGTAAGCTCATGTTGTTTGCGAAGCCCGGTACAAACCGATGGGGACTTTAACACTGCGCGCATTCCGCCAAACGCCGATGCTTATAGAGCCAGTCCGGTTTGCAGAGCGCGAGGGGCATTACGACAGCAGCCCCACACATGCTCTGACACCTGTCATCGTGGACGATGGCAGGGGTTTTTGTCGCCTTGGACACCGGTCTGTTTCTGATGTAGGCGCGCTCTCTGATGCTCCATGCGGTATTCGTTGAATCATTCGGGCGTCATTGCCAGCTGACGTCGCCGCTTTGACGCAACCTCTGCTGATTACCAAGGTGCCAGCTGGCGGCCAGCGCACCCTTCGACTGACGCTGCGCTGCCGACCGTTGGGATTGGTTTGGATCTGCAACCGCACTGCTGTCGTCTGAGCGAGCTGTGTGTATGTCATTGGGGCTTTGTGACACATTCAGGTGCTGAGGCTGCGTGACACTGCATGCCTCTCACCCGGACTGGAAGGACGGGCACCGAACCGGGGAATGTGGGAATCGAATCTCTTGCCTCTGGTTTCCCAGACGCCCAGCTCAAAGGGAATGTTCCACGTGTGGAGATACAGAAGCAAGCATCGCATATGATGAAATAAGCTCACATAACTAACGGTGTGTTTCTGAGTGGAATGGGCTGTTGTAGACAACATAATTTTGCTAATTAGTAAATGTGCCCCTCCGTATGTCATTGTTTGATGCGTACCTTGCAAAGCATTGATTGAGAGCTAATTGATTGCCGCTATATCTGGAAATTCTGCTCACAAACGCCAGAGGTAAACGACTCGACAATTATATTTTGCTTGGCTTTGATCGCCACATGACCAATGGAATGACAGGATTTGATTGCCGTTATGGCGTCATGGATGTCTGAGCGACCTTGAAGTTGTCTGCACGAAATGTTGTGCACATCTTTGCAGGGACGTGGCTCAGAAACTAGACAGGTTTAGACCATAAAAAGGGCAGGGCTATAAACTGCACTGAATGATCTTCAAGATGACTACTCCAGTTGAAAACCCCATACAAATGTGAAACACTCCCTTTAACGACAACACTTTGGATGCCCCACCAAGACAATCGCTGTCCCATCCTATCGTGACTTATCGTCAGGATAAATAAATAACGAGCTGGAAATTAGCACAAGAAACAATTGTGTGTCTCAGAAATGATTTCGATCAAGTCAGTAGCCTAAACTTTCCTATTGCGTTTATTTTTTTTTTTAGCTGTCCACTGCGCTGCAGGAGTGCCACAGTCAATCGTCCCGCAAAGAGCACTGCGATCCTATCCTCGTGGCACCTCTACGACGCGTGCATGCCGATACCAGGCATGTACTAGGTGTGCTGGCTCCACTCCTCACTTTATGTTGGCCCCACCGCATGCTGACCACAAACCACGCAGTGGCCACAAATCGCGCACTGGCGGAAACCCGTACACCGACTACAAACCGCGCTCAGACCACAAACCGTGCACTGGTCACAAAGTGTGCTTTGTGCGGTACACGGGGGTTTGCTGTGTGCGCATGCCGGTATCGCCAGGCGCGAACGTTGACCGCGATTACCATGCCCGTGCCGATGGGGTCGGTTGAAGTCTCCGTGCGTGTACGTTGGCGGAGTGCCATGCGGGGCAGGGCACTGCGTGTACAGCTGCGTGTGTGTGTTTGTGCTGGCGGAGTGAGGCGCGGGTGTGTGCTGAGCTGGCCATCCGTGTGTTCGCCAGCCGCCGGACGCCGTCGTGGAGGAGAAGAGCCGGAACCGAGTGGAGGCGGTGGCCCGCCGCGTGCATCAGAGTCGGCTGGCGGGCCTGCGCATCGTGCCGGCGCCACCCGGCCAGATCACCAGCGGCGACGTCAACCTCTGTGTCATGCTCTGGACCTTCAGCTTCCTTACACTTGTCCTTGCCTTCTTCCTGTTTAGGATGAAGAGGCGGTACAAGCGCAAATATTCCAACGCCTACGGGCCGTTTTCGTAACGCAGCCGGTTAGGAGTTTGTTTTTGTGTGGAGCAGGTGTATTTAATAGGGTAATGACTCGACCAGAGTGGGGCGTGGTCTTACCTGATGACCAGATGCCATAAAAGGTGTTATGCTTGCGTGGGTTGGTGCTCCGTTTCCATCTATTTTTATACTGTTGGTGCGAACGCCTCCCAACGATCGCCTTTCATTGCCAGTCAGACGTCTGGGTGGCATCCAAACACTCTGTGGGTGGAGCGCGCCCCGCCCACACCATCCGTCGACACAGAGCCACGCCTCCCACAGTCCTGCACCGTCCGCCCCTACCCGGCCTGGCTGCGGACCAGGCCAGTCCTGTCGGAGTGCTATCTAGCTCGCCAAGGTCGGTCCCATACTGGGTGCTGCTGGACTTGTGTTAGTGCTCGGAAGACTCGCGTTCACGGCATGTTTTGGTGGCAGTGGCTGTGAGGCAGCTATGCTCGGTGCAAGGCCGACCGGGCAGATGGCAACATGCACATTCCGTCAGATCTGAGCGGCTGACCCTGCTGATCTAAGCCAGATTGCGTGTGGCAATTATTTGTGGTGAGTTTCTGTCTAAACAACTCATTTCGCCCGTGTGTGTAGTTATGCACAGGCCAGGCATTATCAAATATTGTTGAGGAGGCGTTGCTGTTCGTAAATTTTCTATTTTGCAAGCATTGAGGTGGTTGGCTGGATGAATTGTGATGAACCAGAAAGACTTCACCTTGCTGTACTGCCGTTGTTGGTAGATTATGGATTGCTGCGTTGGGAGGTGCAGCCGAGGGTATTCTGTTTTGCCCTGGGCTGCTCCCAGGTCCTTGATGCAGCTCTGGATTGTCTCTGTTATAAGTACAGGTAAAGTTTGTGATATTAAATGATCGGTGTTGGACTTCGTTGGATAGTTTTATTGTGCGGCTTGGAGGACGAGCTGTGCATACATTTTCTGTCGGTGGTTTTATCTTTTGGGGCACACGTCAGTTGTTTCCTATGGCGCTATCCTAATAAATGAATTGCCGTGACCTGACTTGGCTCTTTTCAAATGGAACTTCGTATGGAGTGATTGTTCGTCTGCTGCGGTGTTAACGCAATGTTCATCGCTTAACGGTGTTGAAAACGCGATGGCAATGAGAGTTATCAATCTGGGGAACACCGGGTGCACGTCGTGTGGCGCGAGAAAAATACTCTCGTTCATAACGTAAGTGAGACCTGAGGCGTTATTTGCCGTCTCTCCACAACCTTCCCGTTTGCGGCGTGATGGCCGGTGGACGCGCGTAGCCTTGCTCTGGTGCTTGTTAGCTTTCTGTCGCTTGGGGCAGCGTGATGGTGGTTTTACTGTTGGGACTCCATCGCTCATTGCCCTGGTAGCTTTCATTGCTTCTTGTCGTAGCTTTAGCTTCAAAAGAGTGGTTTGCGTAAGCGCCCTCAGAGTTGAGTACTCCCGCCACGACTTAGGCTCCGCATCTTCCGGTCACCAGGAAGTGCTGTCATCTGCCAACTGCTGTAAGAAACGGCTGACGGGGAACTGAGCAGGGTTTCTGCTCAGAAGTTTCAAGTGTATTAGTGCTGTGTTGTTAAGTTTTAAGCCATTCTAATAACTAGTTTGTACGATTAATTTAAGGTTGAGGTTGAGGTCGGAAAGCCAAGCGTTACGGGATGTCTTCTCCCTCCGGCGAGGGGCTTGTTTGCCTCCCTCCACCTCTCGCTCGGTGGGGCCGAGCTTTGAGTTGGTTCGAAACGTGGATGGGGGAAGTTTTCGAACAGTGAATCCCTTCACCATCCGCGGTGAGCTAGAATTGCACCCTGGCGAAATGGAAGATGCGAAACCGCTCCAGTCAGGAGCCCTCCTAGTGAGGGTGTTTACCGAACACCAGGCCAAGGCCCTGCTGAAATTAAACAAGTTCATGGAGCGGGATGTAACGGTCACTATCGCAGACCGCATAAATACCATTCAGGCGGTTGTGTACAGCCCGGAACTAACCGAGCTGTCAGAAGAAGAGCTGCTGGGGGAGCAGACTGAGCGGGGTGTGTGTGAGGTTGTGCACCTGCCCTCCCGCCGTCCCGGCATGGGCCCCCCTCCACTGGTCCGACTGCGGTTCAAAGGGCTTAAGCTCCCATAGGCCATCTACTGTGGGCACCTTGTGGTCCCGGTTAAGTCCCCCCAGCAACGCCGCACGTGTCAACGGTTCAGCCACACTGACCGGATTTGCCGGTCTGCACATCCAACCTGCGGCCGCTGCGCGGACTCCCACTACACGCGGGAGTGTGGCACCGGAAACTTGCGATGCGCCTCATTCAAAGGCCCGCACGCAGCTTGGGACCGCCGTGCCTGTCCCACCTGGGACATGCAACGTGAAGTGCTGAGGGAGCGCCAGCAGCAGGCGGCGGCAGCGGCCCTTGCACCCGCTCAACGAGAGGTCCACTCGCAGGAGTGGCCCACACCACAGGAGGCATACACTCGCCCTCGCCATTCCCCACTGACACAAGCTCCACAGCGTCGCCCCCTCCCCCTCCGCGTCCTCTTGAGGAGCCTGAGATACTGAGCGAGCACCACGCCACGGCACAGCACTCCCTTCAGCGCGCCGCACCTCCTCAAATCAACCACGTCTGGTGCGGGAGCCCGCGCCGACCGATCCAGTTGAGGTTAACCCGGTGGTTGTGAGCCTCCCTGAGGAGGAGCCCGCCCCACCCGACACAGAGAGCCTCTCTCACACCAAGTGCGTAGATGTTGCCCCTCCCCCCCCCCCTCCCCACCCTTACCGGCGTCCCAGGGAGCCCCGTCTGATCCTCGGCCGCCGGGCTGCTGACACCGGCCCCGGGTCAGACCCTCGCTCGATCATCTAGCCCGACGCGTTACGCGCTCTTTCCGTCTCTCCCCTCGATCTTTCTCACCGCCGCTCCGATGGATGGTCTCCCTCCCCTTCCTAAATGAATCCCAATTCGGTGAACTCTTGCTGCAATGGAATACAAGGTGCCTGGCATCCCATTGGGGAGAATTAAAAGAATATATGATACAAAAACGATTGATAGCCGCCGTTCAACTGGCCTTTTTAACCACTCGGATTCCTTTAATTTCAATCGTAATATCAACGGTTACTGCCTCTATGCAAATACCGCAAACGAAACTCCGCGCCGAGGCGGCTCGGCTTTGTTTGTTTCCAATAACCTGTTGCATCGTCAAGTTCATTTGAATAACCACTTCAATTTAGGTGCAATCACTGTTAAATTAGTACAGTTGGATCTTGCTCTTCTTTCTGTGCCCTAGGCCCACTAATCATGTCTCTTCAGCTGATCTCTCTGGCCTGCCAACGCAAATTCCCTCGCCCTGTCTGCTTCTCGGGGACATGAACGCCCCCCCCCCCCCCCCACACACACACCGCGCATGGGGTTGTAACACCACACAAGTAAGAGAGCGACCTTCGCAGAGACTCATGGACACTCACCTCATGCATCAACGAACTAACACCTAAGTCGAATCGTATGCTTTCACCTTTTCGGAATGGTTCCCGTCCCGGCCGCTCCACGACGGACGACCTGGTTCACATCATCGATTCAATTCAGCTCGGATTTCAGACTAAACCTAGTACGATAGCACTCTTCTCTTCGTAGATTTAAAGGCCGCTTTCGATAGGATGAATAAAAAGCTCTCTTCATTAAGTTGCAAGACATCGGAGTTCGCGGCCGTCCCACTGATTTCATCAAAAACTTTTTAAATGATAGGACACGTTCTGTGCGTTGTGGAAATACTTATTCTTCTCCGATGGCGCAAAATCACGGCCTTCCGCAGGGCAGTGTCTTATCTCCAACCCTCTTTCTCGTGATCCTAAATGGTGGTTTCAATAACATTGATAATATTTCTTTTCGTTCCCATTATTCTCTATATGCGGATGGTCTAGCGATGTGGTACACGCATGCTAATGTCGACCAGGCAACGCATTACATTCAACTAGCTGCGGATGACATCCACACGCGGTGCACACGGTGGGGACTACAGATTTCCCCAGCAAAGTCAGCAACAATTCTCTTTTCTAAACGAAATAGCGTACAGCCTGCAGTCTCCCGAAACTTCAGCGGTGAAATAATCCCTCTTGTTGACAGTTCTAAATACTTGGGCGCGGCACTAGATCGTCGTCTTATGTTCAATGCTCACTCTGCCGACCTCGAGCCACGTTGTACCAAGCGATTCACCATAACAAAATGTATTGCAGGATGAGAGTGGGGTGCCGACAGACGCACTCTCCTCCGCCTCTACACCTCCCTGATACGCGCGATCTTGGACTAAAAAGTATTTCTTTTTGATGATATTTCTTCCGAAAAATAGAAATCCTAGGAACCATCCAGAATACTTGTCTCCGCATACTGACTGGTGCATTTCGCACCTCCCCGGACCGAAATCTGTTCGCGGACACGAATATCCCCTCCCTATCACACCGGGAGACATTGCAACTTCTCAGATTTCACGCACGCGCCGCGGGGCACGTTGGCAAACCCACATTCAATACCCTCGCACACCTCCGCCCCAACCGCACAGTTACCAACGTGGAGCTCCAGTACCCAACCATCAGCACCCGCATTATCCGAGCGCAACGTGCGCTCAATCTCCAGGGCATTTCCCTGCAGGCCAATGCCCAGTCCCCGGCCCTTTTGGGACGACCCTGTACTAAACGTGATATCTCTGTTCAAGCAAAAAAAAAAATATGTCAATACCCAAAGCGCGCGGACTCTTCGCTGAGTTCAAAGAGGAACACGACCAATAACGCATTTATATACACTGATGGCTCCCGGCGTGAAGGCCGCACAGGGGCCGCGTACATTCATCATTATCATCATAAATACAACCGCTTGTCAAATTACAACGCCGTGTATACGGCTGAGCTAATGGCAATCCTGTCAGCCCTGCTGCAAATCAAGAAGAGTAACATAAAAAGGGCTGTCGTACGCGCAGACTCCCATTCGTCGCCACAAGCTCTCATGACACTCCATAATGCACTCCATCCAATTACAAACGGTATGCGTCGAACGCTCTGCTCTCTGCCTCAACAAACTGACGTAATATTTCTCTGGATACCTGGACACTCAAATATTCATGGAAATATCATCGTTGACGAGACAACAAAACTAAGTCTGATGTTACCAAAACGCAATCATCTTCCATCTTCCTTCCTTTCATTGTCCCGTTTCCGATATTCTTGCAGTCATCAATTTACATTTTCGTTTGCTTTTCCAATCCGATTGAGATGAACGCGCTCATTACCAACTTCATTCAATCAAACCCGCACTTCAGTACTGGCCGGCAATTAACCAAGACAATCGCCACAACGAAGTGCTACTTGCCAGACTTCGTACCGGTCGCACCCAAATCACCCACTACCACCTTTTCCAGCGCACTCCTCCTCCGCTATATCACCGTTGCGACATCCAATTCACGATGAATCATTTCCGGCTCGTGTGCCTGGTGCATCAGCAGCAAGACATCCGCTCATCAGTTACAGCCGGTGCGTCAGCTGACGGTCCCGCGCCTGGGGCTACAGTCCGCCGCCATGGCGGTTCGCCTCGGAGACCTCATCAGAAGAGAGCACGATGTCATCATCGAACCGACTCACCACTGGTCAGACTCGTCCACTGTGCTGTGCTGGATCAGAAGCGAGAGTAGGCGCTACCACACGTTTGTGGCGAATCGTGTGGCGGAGATACAAGACTCATCCAATGTCAACGACTGGCGCCACGTGCCGGGGTCGATGAACCCCGCTGACGTCGTGTCCAGGGGCTGCAGTACGTCAGAGCTCTGCGAAAGCGAATGTGACTGGTTGCAAAGACCCGGCTTGTTGTCGCTGCCTCCAGAGGCATGGCCGGCTGAGCCTTCGAACGACATCTAACAAGAGGACTCCACGGAAGAAAAGGTCGCGACAGTGACCGCGGTGACCCAGCCTGACCCGGTCATCCAACCAGCCAAGTTCTCGTCCTGGTTGAAGCTCCTCCGGGTGACGGCATGGGCTCGACGGTTCTGCAAGAACTGCAAGGCTGCAAAAGACGACAGAAGCTTCGGCCCGTTGTCGGTGACTGAGCTTCGCGGTGCCGAGGCGGTCTGCCTTCGACGGGCCCAGGCAGACGAATTTCCCGCTGAGCTGGACGCCCTGAGGCAAAAGGTTGCACTGTTACGTCGCAGCAGGCTGCTGCCGCTCTGCCCGTACCTGGACACGGATGGACTCATCAGAGTTGGAGGACGGCTGCGACACGCCAAGATCACGTACGAAAATCGCCGTCAGGCGTTGCTGCCTCCAAGCCATGACGTTACTCGCCTGGTCATCACGGACAGGCACCAGCGCCTGGCGCACAGCGGACCAGATCACGTCCTGTGTTCCCTTCGTGAGCGATTCTGGATCCTGCGCGGTAGAGCGGCCGTAAAAAAGTGGACAGCCCCTTGCTGGCTCTGCAGGAAAGGACGGGCGACGCCGAACCCGCCAGTGATGGCTGACCTGCCAGCAAGTAGAGTAGACCCACGCGGGCCGCCGTTCTCTGCAGTTGGCCTTGAATTCCTCGGCCCGATCGTGGTGAGGAAGATGAGGAAGACCGATAAGAGATACGGCTGCATATTAACCTGCATGGTGACGCGTTCGGTACACATCGAAGTCGCACACTCACTCGACACTGACAGCTCCATCATGGCGCTCAGGCGCATGATCGCCAGACGGGGCCGTCCTCAGCAGATATTCAGCGACAACGGCACCAACCTGAAGGCGGGAGAGCGTGAGCTCCGCAAATGCTTGCCAGAACTCAATCAAAACCGAATCGCTGACGACATGAAACAAGAGGATATTGATTGGCGATTCAACCCGCCTGCCTCTCCACACTTCGGTGGCGTCTGGGAACGGGTGGTACGCTCTGCCAAGCGCGCACTCATGGCAATCATCGGTCACAACACGGTCACCGGCGAAATGCTGCTGACCGTCATGGCTGAAGTCGAGGGTCTGCTGAACAGTCGACCTCTCACTCACGTCAGCGCCGACCCAAACGGCCTGCAGGCGCTGACCCCTAATCACTTCCTGATTGGTCGCGCCAGGCCCAAATCTGCCGCCCGGTATATTCGATGACTCCGACATGAGTGGCTAGACGACGCTGGCGGCACGCTCAACGCGTCGTCGATCACTTCTGGAAGCGGTGGCGTCGAGAATATCTGCCAGAGCTGACGGTGCGGCGGAAGTGGCTGCAGGAGACGAGGAATCTGGAGACTGGCGACCTCGTCCTGGTAGTCGATGACAACGAACCGCGTGGGCACTGGCCGCTAGCCAGGGTAGTAAGGCCGTTCTATGGTTCCGATGGTAGGGTGCGCTCCGCCGAAATCAAAACGGCCGGGGGTACGTACGTGCGGCCGGCGGCGCGCCTCTGTCTGCTGGAGGCGAGCGCGTAGACGTGCCGCTGTGGTAGTGTCGTAGTAACGTGGTATTTGTGTTGTCGAGATGCAGTGGGAAGCTGTACATCAATTACGAATTTGTTTGCACTGTTTTCGGCTGCAAGCTAATGCAGCTGACTGTAGATTTTGTGTTGTATTATCGGGTTTCCAATTTCGATGCGCCAAGGGCGCGTGCGTTTACCCCCAAAAATGTACATTAGACGCGTTTTCGATGCGGTCGATCGAGAATTGTGCCGCCGAAGTCGGATGAGTGGCGATGCATTTTGTAGCTACGGCATGATTTGTCCGATCTGTCTGTGTTGTTAGCATAGAATTGATCCAAGAACCGTGGATGATTTATGGTGCGGCTGTGTTCCGTACAAATCTGCCTTTACACGGTTTCCTTTTTTGTGAAGTGTCGGTTTTGCTGTCCTGTCTCTGAGCTTCTGTTTTATCTCCATTTCTCGGTCCCCTGTCGAGTTTCCCTGTAGATTTATGTTTTGTTTAGTTTACCGTCCCTGCGACCCCCGGTCCTACGGCCAGCCCAGAAACTGCGCCGCATGTGTCGTGTCCTGCGCGGGGCCGCGCCGCCCGGTAACGGGGCAGTTGTCTCGCGAGCGCCGCCAAGGAGAGGACGCGTATGTCCTCCTGGCCCGAAATTCAAACCTCAAAATATAGCATCAGCCGACGGATGCGTGTTGACGAACGATCGAACGATACCGAACAGATATATCACATCACATTGTTCCCCTCCCAGACACGGGAGGCCTTCCGACGTGTGCAGTTGGTCCCGGATCAGCACAGGAACCCTCATTGACGCAATTACATCCCAAATTACCAAAGGTGGTCCAATGATTGTCCGACAGGCTTCAGTTCCGTGCTTTTCTGTTTTTTTCAGAGATATTGAGGAATCCCTGAACATAGATTGCAGGTGAAATGGGCCTCAAGCTTGTATTAACATTAACTAATCCTTGTTCGTCTTAAAATGTTCAAGATTCAGTCAGAATTGATTACTGATAAAAAGACTATGTAATATGGTTTTGAACATACGCGTTCGTAAGTCATGGCAACAACAGCCTGAACGCTAGGCGTTGCAGTCTCCATGGGCCGCGTGGCGTTGCTGTGACACCAGACGATGGCCAATAATCAAACGAAAAAGATAACGCACCTTGAGGAGGATGGCTGGTGAACTAGTTAAATCTGCGTATATATTTAGATGTGGTGCAAAAGTAAGCTAAAACAACATTAATCTCAAAAGTGTGTGTGTGGGGGGGGGGGGAGCAGTTCACACTGCTCGGCCCCCCCCCCACCTTGAAAAGTGGGGGGGGGGGCATGGGCCACCTGCCCCCCCCCCCCTGTTCCTACACCCATGTCAATAAGTAACTCATGAGATAGCGACGTTCCCGAGTAAGAGCAACGCATCCAACCTATACGTGTCCCACCGCGAGGCACCACCTTTCCGTGGTGAGGGGATTGTGTGGCCCCAATGACCCTGCGGGCGGTTGGGAAGGCTTGCTTGCTTGTTGTTTGGGCGCCCCTCAACCACCAGGATCCGGTCAACCCGGGAACGCGGGCGAGGGGGGTACGGCGACCCCGATTAAAACGAGAATCACGAGTGCTGAATGAGCTGGATGCGGGAAAGCGGGTAATGGGAAGGGAGCAGACGGTAATGGGAAGGAGCAGGAGCTCGCGTACCGGCGGGGTCGCTACGCCCTGAGAGGAACAGCTTGCGCTGTCCACCATGTAGTGTTTATAGAGCTGATCAGCTCGCGTACGGTCTGGTTCGGTGCGAACCACAAAACGCGTGGTAACGGTCGGTGAGAAACTGTTTATTTATTCAAGGTCAAACAGGGATTCACTTCAAATGGTAGTAAGGGAGGGTATGGTAATACAGGGGAATGTGAATGATTTTCATTTCAACGATACATAGACACTACGCACCTGTTACCGAAGCTGGGACCCGAGGGGGCGCTAGTCCCCTACACCGAACGAAACCGGTGTCCCTGTGGGACCCATCTCTGATCGAGTCAGAGCCTTTGCGGGCGCGCGTTTCCCCTGACCCCTCCCCTTTGGCCGGAAGGGGCGCTTCACAAACCTCCCCAACCGCCCGCAGGATCATTGGGGCACACAATCCCCCCACAACAGAAAGGTGGTGCCTCGCGGGGGGACACGCATAGGTTGGATGCGTTGCTGTCACTCGGGAACGTCGCTATGTCATGAGTTACTTATTGGCACACCGCCTCTCCCACACCCTCCAAACGCTGCTAGGCAACAACGATCCTGCCTTAATCGACCTTGTCCTGGACTTCGTAATTAAATCGCCATTGGGTACGAAGGTCTGGCAAGATCTGATTCTCCACTTAGCCCCGTGGTACGTGCGAATCCCGTCGGGAAAAGGCAACGGCCGGGCGCCCAACGTAGCCAAGCTTTTACTCACGGGTTTTTCCCCACATATGCAGTAAATTGTGATCTCAAATGACGGTCGTTGTTGACCATATTTTCCGTATTGCACAGCCTATCAAAGCAAAATTGCATATGTGTGGTTTTCCCGTGCCTCCCATCTCTAAAGTGGCCGCCACACTTATTTAGCCGGCTCTTGCCGGACAAGTCCGGTCTCGCGCGGGATGAGTTGAGAGCCTCGCCTTCCTTTCTTAGCGAATAACGTAAGTTGAAGCCACTAAAGAAAGTGGTTCGCGCGAGCCGGTGTCCTTTGGTCCGTTCAAGAAAACAAATAGGACTGGTCGCCCTGCAACGCTCGATGAATGCGTTGTTCCCTGCAATAAGCACGTTGTTCTTCCGCGTGGTCGCGGGCCAGGGCAGCATTTGACATTGGCGGGAAGTTGTCTGTGTTTGCTGTGCGACGCAGACAACTAAATTTGTGTCTTGCACTTAAAAATACTGGGACTTGTTCATAATGGCGTACAGCAGTTTACCTGATGCTCGTAGACTTCAATAGGGTGAGAGGCAGGGAGATCTGAAGGTAATGTAATTTATCCCTCTCTCTCCATTGTTACCTGCTGGTAAGGATGACTGACTTGCCCACTAGCAAGGATGACTGACTAGCATCTTAACTCAAGACATGACAGAAAATGTCAACAGCAAAACACTACCATTCTACCTTCTGATTGCAATTGTTGCAATTCATGTCCCATTTAAGGATGCAAGTGCTGAGGCAGTCAGGATAGCTTATTATATCCAAACTCCTCATCACCATCTTGAGAAAGCACAACATGTTTGTGTCCCTTATTTTGTGCAAACAGCTGTTTGGTATCAGCAGCCCATTGTCACCTGTGGTGGCAGTTGTTTTTATTTAAGCCTTTCTGCAGCAGGCTCTGATACCAGGCTATCTTGGTGGGGGTTGCTTCCCAGCTGAGAGCAGCTGCTTAAAGTTGGGATGGTGCAACCTGCCCCCATTAAGAGAGGATTTTATCTGGATGTGTATGATGCATATGCATCCAGCATTATACACAGACCTCAATAACCATTTTTCATTGGTAGCAAGGGCTACACGGGTTTTGGAGAGATAAATGGCCACCATGTTCCAGTCATGAGCATCAGCCTCATAGCTGGTGGGGTGGTCAGAATTGTCCTCAGTATCTTTTGGTCCTGCTACTTTGAGTGTTGTCATGGGCATGCATGAATTTTGAAAGCAAGAGAAGGCAAGTCCCCAATGTCATTGCTGATCAGACACTTGTACTGGTGACACACTCATTGTACATATGCACAGTTAGAGTGGCCAGGCAGTTGGATGACAGGCTGTATCATTGGTCCGTTGGTGTGAGGTGCAGGGGTGGATCTAGGATTTTGTCAAAGGGAGGGGGGACAGGACATTGTGGGGCCCCCTGGAGTTGGGGGCCCCTCCCCCAAAAATATATTTGCATTTCAGTCATTACATTGTAAGACAGGTTGTATGTAATATATATATATATATATATATATATATATATATATATATATATATATATATATATTCATGTATGTGTATATTTACTATGTATTTATTTAATAAACATGGAAGCCTGTCATACTGTGCACAGTCCTATAAAGCAGAGGCATGCTACAGATGCATACACATTGAGTACACACAAGTGGCTCTCATCAACAAGTCTGGGCCCTCAGGGCAAGCAAAAAGAATGCAAGACCAATGTGGCAGGCCCATAAACGATCAGTAGTGCCGTGGCGCGCTGACATATAAGGCTCCGGCCATAGCACAGGACCCTCTGAGCAAAAGGGAATTATCAAAGACCATGAGCTAATACCCCTGCGCGATGAGTGCAGAGGCAGGTTAGTAACACCAGCATCCATGGGAGTTAAGAGTCCTCTGCAGATGAGACCAAGGGGGGAGAGCCTTCGATCACAGTGGAGGGCCCCTGAACACCCGGTGTTTCTGTGCCTTACCTTATAAAGAGTCCTAGCAACAGCACAGGGCCCTCCAGGTAAGTGGAAAGACCCCAAGACTTCTATGAAGGGAAACTGAGCACACCCTGGCATATGGGACCCCAGAAAAGTGTATAAGCCTTTCAGGGCTTATACACTCCACTCCACAAAAGGGAAGAATTTGTGGAGGAAAACCTGACTAATCAACAGTGCTCAGGTATGAAGGCAAGTAGCATCCCAACAGCACATTGAGCCCTACGAGAAAATGGAAAGAGATCAAGGACAACGCGGAAAGCTCTTTGGAGATCAGATTGACCCGGCAAGTGGACATATAGGGCCACGCACCCAACAGCGTAATGAGCCCCAAAATGTTCCCAAGCAACATTTTTTCAATCAATGAGGAATTAACTTAATTTATTCGTGGACTCTTTACTTTTGCTAGCAATGGTTCTTGGTTGCCTGTTGGCTCAAAATCGTCTAAGTTCGTTGTCTGTGATAAGAAATATGCGTCCGTCCGACCGGTTATGGGACGGTTTGAAGCTTTTAGGTACCCACGGCATGGTCCAGGGGGGGGGGGGGGGAGGGGAAGTCCCGTGCCTCCCCACCCTCTGCATCCGCCGCCGGCCCGAGCAGCTGAATAGATGGGGCTCGCCAAGAACATAAGGCCATCCATTCAAATAGGAAATACTCAACGCAATGTGTAGGGCTCTAAACGATCGAGTGCGCCCAAGCAGGTTAACATATGAGGCCCCCGTCAAGAGCATGAGGCCTTCCATTCAAATAGAAAGTATCCAAGACCCAATGTAGAGGGCCCCAAATGATGGAGTGTGCCCGAGCAGGTTAACAGCAGGTCAGAAAAGAAGTACCCGCGACCCAGTGTGGAGGGTCACCGAACGATTGGGCGTGCCCAAGCAGGCATCAGATGGGCCTCCGACAGGAGCGTAGGGCCTAGGGAAGTGACAGGGTATTAGAAACGCCCTAGACCAATGTGGAGGGCCCATGAGCACACCGCAAATATGTCGGTAGGTTAACCGGGACACACGTAGAGGGCCCCTGAACAACCGAGAATACCTCGGCAGGTTAAGATATGGGGCCCTGGCTATAGCTCACAAAGCCTTTCTGGCGAATGGAAAGAATCCGTGGAAGGGCCCGTGATTGACAGGAGTGCCCCGACATGGTTACAGGAAGAGCCCCAACAACAGCGCAGGGTCCTCCGAGCAAATGCAAAGAAATGAAGGGCAACGTGGAATGCCCCTTAATGATTGAAATGATCTTGCAAGTAGGCATATAGGTCCCCCGAAAAGGAGATGGGGTCCAGAGACAGCGCAGTGAGGCTTAAAATTTCCAGGTCACAGCTATTCCAATCACTGATCGGACTGATTGTCAATCAGTGAATGTTTTTTTGACTTATCATAGGCCCCTCACTTTCGCTTATAACTGTTCCTGGTCGCCTGAAACTACAGAGGTACCCAGTTTTGTTGCGTTATGTGTTAAAAAAACGGTGGGCCCCTTCGGGGCCCGAGGGAGGATCATGGTTCCGTGCCCCCCCCCCCCCCCCTTAGATCCGCCCCTGGTGAGGTGTGCCCTCATGCTGCTGCACAGTGCCTGTTGGCTTTCGCTGTTTCCAGCTGTTTCCATAGCTGCTGCCTTTTGTATGCTTTCAGGCCCAGGTGATGTTCCATCCATCCCATTCTGTATCTCCCTCCTGCCATGCGTGGTAGGTTCATCACAGCTTGGTAGCATTCTTCTTGAAAATATGTGGGTGGAGAAGGCAGTAGCATCAAGCTTCTGGCTGAGGAAAGTTGGATACTACTCTTGGCTCATTACATCCACCAGGAAGGTGCCCCAGACTCAGACTCAGACTCTTGCAAACATTATTTTTGATCATATGCCTTATACTGCAGGAGCGCGGGACCACCGATGTGCGGTAGGCCAGCCCATGAAAAACACTTCGGCACATCGTTGACACGTAAACATCATTCCTTCCTAAGTTTTGGAGTAGCATGACTATATGCTCGTGACTGAAAACGACGTGTACACCCTGTTCCAGTCTCCATTGCAGCAGCACTATCCCCATATTCCTTTGGTGCCCAAACAACAGGGGAGTACCCCTTTAGCTGTTTATCACCCCTGAATGCTCCATGAACGTCCTATTTCGTGTGTACTGGTCTTCTCAGGATGCGTAAATTTTCACAAACGCCTGATTTCGGGCATTCATAGTCAACCATGCCAATTCCATTGCACAGTGCTATAGATCAGTATTGTCTTGGACATTTGTGAAATATCGGTCGCATTCATCTTTGCTCTTTAGCCCCTGCATGAGGTTTGGAAAGCTTGCGACTTCATGCTTTGACATCTCCATGACAATATGACATTCCAATGCAGATTGGCGCAGCATAGTCTGCAAACCGAAAGCATCATAGCATGGGAGTGAGCGGTGCTTCCCACCAACAGGGCATCTCTATTTGACGCCGGTGGACGCCGCGGCCCGATCATGCTGTCCGTCCGGCTCGTGACCGCCGACCACGCGATGGCCGAGCCGGCGCACGGCTGGGACGCCACCTACTCCGAGTTCCGCGGCCGCCGCGTCACCGCCGTGCCCGTCATCCGCGTGTTCGGCGCCACGCCAGACGGCACCAAGGCGTGCATGCATGTGCACGGCGTGCTGCCGTACTTCTACGTGCCGTTCGACGGCGCCAGCGCGGCGGCGAGCGCGGCGCACCAGCTGGCGGCCGGCCTGGACCGGGCGCTGGCGCTGGCCGCCGGCGGCCGCCAGACGGCGCCACTACACGTCCACAAGGTGGCGCTGGTGGCTGGCATGTAAGTAAGCTCGGACAGGCGCCGGTCGGCCGCGCCTTATCGCTTTCTTCCGGTTATGTTGCTGTCTTCGCCCTCGTTTGTCCTTTCGTTTCCTCGAGTCCGTGTGACACTTTGCTCTGCTCTCCGGGTTTCCTCATTTATTTTTTTCTTCTGTCTTCCCTGCTCGTCTCGCGTCTTCCATTCTGACATTTTCATTTTCCATTGGCCTCTACTCATGTCCTCTACTTTATTCTCCGTCCCCCTTTCCTCCTCTTCGTACTCTCGTTTCACCCCTACGCTGTGCTTTGTGGGATTTCCAGGAAAATGGTTCCAACTCAGACCTATAAACTCAACTTTTGTCATTTGTCCGCTCTTCCTGCTGGAGAAGAGGGGTTGGGGCAGGCGACGCCAAATAGCCTCAACAGCCGAGTGCATCATGAAGTCCAATGACGACGACTACGGCTTTTCTCATTTTCTTGAATTGGTCTGAGTGATGGCTGGTTGTGCCTGTTACTTTTTAAGATTACTTTGCAATGTCTTGAACAGATGTTCAATTTCCCAGTTTCAAGCTGAGTTAAAGTGTGGTGGTGGTCCAACTGCTCATGTGTTCTGTTGGCCGTTGTGGGACATATATGCTGATATGTGTTGTTTTCTCTCAGACCATACTATGGATATCACAAGAAAAGTCATTTGTTCTTCAAAGTTTTCCTTTACAACCCAAGGATGGTTTCAAAAGCTGCGGAACTTCTTCAGGTATATAGAGATGTGAGATTTTCCACACCATAGAATTAAACTTTTTATGGAACGTCGTGAGGTTGACTGTTCTCAGGTATGCGCGTCGTCTGCAAACGCATTTCCCGTGATCAACCATGACGCTGCGGTGGTACTCTTATACGGTTTTCTTTTGTACGCGTGTGGTCATGTGGATCTGCACAATGACTGTTGTTTTCTATCTCCACCGGCCGTACGCCATCACTAGCGGGCAGGGAACCGACTGACGTGTGTTTATCGTGTTCACAGAGCGGTGCCGTTATGCACCGGTCGTTCCAGCCGCACGAGGTGCACATCCCGTACCTGCTGCAGTTCCTCATCGACTTCAACCTGCAGGGGATGAACCTGCTGCACGTGTCCTCTCACAGGGCTCGCACCGAGGCGGGTGAGTGTGCGGCGCCGCCCAGCTCCACCGGCCTGTCCCAGCCGCCGCCTCTGACCGTGTGCCGGGCCCGCCGCGCTGTGCCTCCCCGGCCTGCCCTGAGCGCGCGCTCGTCCGCAGGGACGGAGGCCTCCGGAGGGTCGGGACTGGCCGCCGTTAGCAGCTGCCAGCTGGAAGTGGACGTGCACGCCTCCCACATCCTGAACCGAACCCAGCTGGCGACGGGTGAGCTGTCAGCTGCCGGCCGTCTGGCTTGGGTGACGTCCGGTCCAGGGGGTGCCGGCCATTGCAGCCGGCAGCCGGTGATCAGGCGGCACGGCATGGCCACGCTGCGGGCTGAAGTGTGGGTCACGCGATGAAATACCAGGGCACAAAGGGCGCCTACATCGCAGCCATAGTTTCCATTTGGCGATGTAGTGTTTCTCTTTGGAGGTGCATCGTTGCGTTACCTTATGTGGACGAAAGCGGCTGGCTCGGCCGATGGGCGCACTGCAGCTCTGTTGAACCCGTGCTGGCGCCCGGCGATGGGCGCTGGCCGGCGACGTCACCCTGCGTCCCGTGGCGCGGCAGAGTCGGGGCTGGGCGCCGGCAACCCGGGCCTGGCGGCCATCTGGCGGGAGGAGAGGGCGCGGCGGCGGCAGGCGGGGGACGGCCGCGACTCGCAGCCGACGCCCGAGCCGCCGGACGGCCGCACCGCCCGCCGGCAGCCCGGCGAGGTTGCCGCCCTGGCCGCGATAGCGGCGCGGCTCGCCGACCAGTCCCAGGTGAGCTGGCCCGGACTCACGGACCAGGCGGAGGTGAGCTGGCTGAGACTCACGGACCAGGCGGAGGTGAGATGGCTCAGACTCACGGACCAGGCGGAGGTGAGCTGGTCCGGACTCACGGACCAGGCGGGGGTGAGCTGGCCCGGACTCACGGACCAGGCGGAGGTGGGCTGGCCCAGACTCACGGACCAGGCGGAGGTGAAATGGCTCAGACTCACGGACCAGGCGGAGGTGAGCTGGTCCGGACTCACGGACCAGGCGGAGGTGAGCTGGTCCGGACTCACGGACCAGGCGGAGGTGAGCTGGCTGAGACTCACGGACCAGGCGGAGGTGGGCTGACCTGGACTCAGATTGTTGTTCGGCCAGCTGTCGGACCGCCATGGTCGCTTGGGCCGCAGGCAGCAGTGGGGTTACCTCCAACGTCAATCTCGGGTAACCTGGGTTCCGCTCTCAGCTATCAGGGCGAGATCGTCTCGTAGCGAGCTTCTCCGCATACTTTTCGTTATGTTTTCGTCATCACAGCCGTGGTGGGGTCGATGTCTTTGAACTATTCACGCGACTCACGGTGGCGACAACAGGTGGCGACTCAGGAGGACGCCGGAAGTGATGAGCTCGAAATAGCGTACGTACCACTGCTCTCACGCGTTTCCTTCTCCTCGCCCTTGCGCCGCTTCACTCCGTTTCCTCCGTCTGCCATGCCCCGCGCACCGACCGCGGGTCTGTCGTGCCGCCCGCCTCAGTTGCACCGCCGGCCGCCAGGTGGAGTCGAGCTCGGCCGGCGCTGGCTCGCAGCTGGACGCGTCGCTGGCGGCCGAGTGCGCCGACGAGTCGGCTTGCCAGCCGGCCAGCTCGCTCGACCTGCCGCCGCTCACGCCGGCGCCGGCCCGATCCCCACACACCTCGCCGCCGCCGTCGCCGCCGCCGCTCGACGACGCCAACGTGGATGAGCGACTGGTCCTGGAGCTCTCGCAGCGCGCCGACTCGTCCCTGCCGCGTGAGTACCGCCGGCGGCTGCGTGGCCTGCGGTACAATGTGTGCTGCTGGCTTGGCTTGAGGTCAGTATAGGGACGAATGTAGCGTGCTATTGTTCATATCGTGTATTGTGGTTGTTCTCCGGTGGTGTTCTCTGGGACGTACCCCTGTCGGGTGTGGTATCTCGCGGAGTGCAGGGTGATACCGCAGTGTGACACCGTGTCATGCAGTGTAGCGTGAACAGCCTGCCGACATAGCGTCTGGTTTGCGGTGAAACCGTTGCCACGTAGTGCGATGCGGTGCAGAGCGTTGGCAGTGTCGCCTCGGCGCTAGACTCGCAGCCTGTTGCGTTACGGTGGTGCGGCGCGGTTCAGCAGCGCGGCGTGGCACGATCTCGTGACGCGATGTGGCGCGGCCTCGTGACGCGGTGTGGCGCGGCCTCGTGACGTGGTGTGGCGTGGCCTCGTGACGCAGCGTGGCGCGGTCTCGTGACATGGTGTGGCACGGTCTCGTGACGTGGCGTGTCACGGTCTCGTGACGCGCCGTGGCGCGGTCTCGTGACCCGGTGTGGCGCGTGAGCGGGCGCGGTGCCCTGTTGCAGTGGACTCGCAGGACGACGCGCTGGCGGCGGCGCTGCTCTGCCTGATGTCGCCGGGCGAGGAGCGTCCGCCGGCCGAGGAGGCGGCCGACCGGGAGGCGCAAGACGCCGCCGACGAGCTGGAGATGTCACAGGTGGTCTGGTCACAGCACAGCGACCCCCAGCGGCCCTGGTGAGCTCACGGGCCGCTCCGTCCCTGCTGGGAACGGCCCGAAGGCTTTGCTACACGGCTCGACGACAGCTGGCTCTGGTGAAATGGTGCACTCGTAATCAGACCGTCACGCGCGGCAAACCAGTGCAGTTGACGCGCCACTAAAACCCAGGAGCTAATGATATGGTCGTAATGCTGGAGATAAGTTTACTGCCAGCTCTCAGTTTTCATTGTGCCGTTTCTCTTAGTACGTTGACTGGCTGACATATTATAATGCTTCGTTGGTCCACTGTGCACGTCGCTTGTGCGTGGGTCCAAAATGACCTCAGTGGTCGGCGCACGCTAAAACCCAGGTCATCATTTGTGCAGGTCGGGAGCGGACAGTCCAGAGCCAGGCGGCGACAGGGCCAGCCCAGAGCCAGGCGGCGACAGGGCCAGCCCAGAGCCAGGCGGCGACAGGGGCAGCCCAGAGCCAGGCGGCGGCAGAGCCAACCCAGAGCCAGGCGGTGACGGTCGTGAGCCGGAGGCCGAAGACACGGAGTTCAGCCCACAGTCTTCCGCGGCTGATCCGGGGAACAGCTCATCTGTCGGCCAAAGCTCCGGCCTGACGGTTCCTCAGGTGAACAGCGCGTGCGGTGCTGCGCTGCTCACCAGTGATTGCCACGTTGATATGTTGTGCATCTATGATATCCGAATGGCCGGGAGCTGATCATGGCTGGTGCTACAATGTAATCAGTGTTTGAACTCCGAGTCACACTGTGTGTGTGTGCGTGCGTGCGTGCGTGCGTGCGTGCGTGCGTGCGTGAGTGCCTCTGACAAGCACAGTCTAACGCGGTCCAGACTCAGCGGCTCCATCAGATCTGTCTACGAAGACATACCGGTGACCCAGCTGGGTGAGGTGACCCAGCTCACGTGATGCCCCGTGTACCCAGGTGGACGGCGTCGGTGACGACGAGCCGCGGCCCCGCATCAGGCGGTACCGCCGACTGGGCACGACCGGGCGTCGCGTGGCTGTGAGCGACGCCGCCGCCGCCGCCCTGAAGCTGCCGCTGGCGGAGGGGGCGTCGGCCGCCGCGCGGGGAGCGTGCGGTGACGGCCGTGGAGAGCACGGCGTACCGGCGCCGAACCCGCTGAGAAGACAGCTGCCGGTGCCGGGCGCCGAGCGGACCCTCTGTGGCGAGCAGCTGGCTGGCGCCGCCGCCGCCGCCGCCGCCGTCGGAGGTGGTGACCGAGCGGGGCCGTTCGCGGAGGGCGCGGTGGACGCGGGCGCGCGGAGTGGTGGCCCGGCTTCGGCACGCTCGGGCGTGTTTGGTGGTGGGGGCGGCGGTCGGCTGCCGTCGGCGGCCGTCGCGAGTGAGCGGGGCGAGGGTCCGTCCCGGCCGCGTTCGGACACGGGTGTGCAAGGTGAAGGCTCCTCACCGTCGTCTCCTGATCGTAATGCACTGGGCAAAGACTCTCCGTCAGTACTTGCGGGCTCTACCATATCGGGCGGATGCTTGCCCGCTGTCGACAATAAGCTGATTGAGGAAAAGTGCCGGGGGAAGCAACTGCGGCTCGGCCGCCGTCTAGCAGCGTCCGAGGAGCCGCGTCACGAGAGGACGACTGGTGGCCGAGACGCTTCTCAGGCTGTTCTTCGGGGCCTAAATCAAGCTGGGGAGCTGCGCTCCAACACGGCTGCTGCGGGCGTGTCGCTCTGTGCGCCTCGCGAGGGTGAGGATCCTCGGCGGCGCGGGTCGAACGCCCAGTGCCGGCAGTCCGCTGGCGCTGCTGATTTGGAGTGGGAGTTTGATGGCGTGCTGTGTAGGCCTGACAGTGGGGGTGGCGCAGGTCGCCGTCCCCGTGGCAGTCGCTCCTCATCTGTGTCGGAGGTGAGGCCGCCCGCTCTGGCGGATCTGCACGCCAACCTCGCGGCCGTAGACGAGACACCCTCAAACCACACTGCGCCCGCCCGTTCCGGCCGACCTCCGAAGAAGAGACGCCGCTTTCTTCTGTCGACGAGGAGGCGCAAGCGCGGAACATCCCTGAGCCGTGCGCCAGACGCCGCGGGCGAAACCGCCACCGTCGAGGTGGTGGACCTGGGCCTGGCGTGGCTGGCGCTGGCCGGCGGCATGTGCGAGGCCGACGTGTGGCGGGCGGTCGGAGCCAGGGTGTTGCTGACCCCGGCCGACCGGGCGGCGGCCGACCGGCTCCGACGGACGCCGCAGCTCGCCAGCCCCTCTGGCGACTCGGCGCAGGCCACGGGCGAGCGACGGCCCTGTGCTGAAGGTGCTCCCCTCGTTGATTGTCTGGATTGGAAGAATTCTCGCGACGTGAAGGCAATTTTTGATGGTGGCTTGACTCGGAAATCGCGGGAAAGTGCAGGCGACTCCGAAGAAACTTCAAATGCAGTTATCAATATCTCGCGCGGTGATAGAGACCAGAAGAGACCGGAAGGATTGCACGGGACTTCTCGTGCGGCATTGGGCTCAAAACGTCCGAATGTATATGACTGCGACGTAACTCCAGAGGTGGTCTGCGCCTCAGAACTTCAGGGAAGTACAAAGTCTACGCAGCGAGTGTTTCACACTCAAAACGACGTCTCACGCGCGGATTTAAACCCCGTCGTTGTGTTAAAAAGACTCAACGTGAACGCCCTGCCGGTCCTCCCGAAGACAGCGGGCACGAACGACGAAGAAGAAGCTCCCAGTGCCGAGCCGGTGACGCCCCTGGCTCCCGCAGTCCCGACCCGCGTGAGGCTCCGGATCCGAAGCCGATGGAACAAGCTAAGCCTGACGCGTCGGCGGGCGGCGGGCGGCAGCCCCTCGAAAACCCGCAAGGTGCCGCTGATGATCCACCTGTCGTCGCAGAAGCGTCCCGCCGCCAGGGCGCTGGCCAGCGACGAGCCGTGGCCACGCAAGAGGGCTCGGGTCAGGGTGACGCCCCGCCGCGCACCCCCCAGGCAGAGCTCGCCGCACTGGAGCGGTGAGAGACGAGGGAGCGCCGAGCGGTGTGCCGATGGGCGGCGGGTCCCGCGCGTCGCCGGCAGGCATGAACCGGACATCGTGCTGCGCCGGCCCAAGACCAAGTTGGTCTGGGACGGCCACAACTTTGTGCTGCCGCCCGGCGAGAGGGCTGCGGCGGTGGCGGGAGGCGGCGCTGAAGGTTCGGCCTCGGTCTCGACCGCGGGGGAGGGGGCCGCCGACGCGGCGCCCTCGCCGGCCCAGTCACCTTCGGCTGGGCCGACCCAACGGTCGGGATTGGGGTCACCTGAAGTGAATGTGACAGGAGGTAGACGGACTAAGGGGCGAAAAGGCAGAACAGGGTGTTCTCCAAGAAAAGCAGCAAGGAAGAGAACTGTACGTGCGAAGAGAACATCTGGCCGTGACAGCACGGCTGAACGTCATGCGGCGCCCTTCCCTTTCAGTGCTCTGGACGAGTTTCTGCCGAAGCCGGCGACGCCTGATCATGCGCAGGATCCGGCCCTGAATCTGGCGCTGGATCTGGCGCTGGATTCGGCGCTGGATCCTGTGCTGGATCCGGTGCTGGAGCCGGTGATGGAGCTGGCACTGGATCCGACGATGGAGCTGGCGCTGGATCCGGCGCTGGATCTGGCGCTGGAGCCGGCGCTGGAACCCTTCGCAATGGAGCGCCCCTTGATCGGGTGGATGGGCAAGGAGGTTGGTCGCCCGCCTTCGCCGCCGCCGCCGCCGACCTCGCCATCCGCTGCCGACCTGCTGTCGGACGTGAAACCGATCATCGCTCGGTCGCCGGACGCCCCAGACGCGATGCCTCTGCAGGTGGAGCTGACAGTGCTGTCCTCGCCGCGTAAGGCCGGACCAGAACCGGCCACGGCCGCCCCCGATGCACCTGCGGCCGGCCTAGTGCCCCACCTGTTCGAAGCTGAGTTGCCCGGCGGTTCGGCCGGCAGCGCGGCGACAGGCGCGCCCGGTGCGTCGTCGTCCACCTCTGAGCCGTCGGCTGAGTCGCCGCCGCGCTCGTCTGGCGCGCCGGCTGCCTGCGGTCCTCAGCCACCGGTCATCGGCGTCCCGTCCGCCGCAGGCCGGGCGCCGCCGTGCCCCCCAGCCAGGGGTCCGCCGCGTATGTTGTATGGCCTAGTGCCGCCGCCTGGCCCTCTTGGCCGCGGCCCGCCGCTGCCGAACCCCGACTTCTCATCGCCTCCAGCCTACCGCCCCGTCCTGCCGTCGGGCGGGGGAGCGCCGCGCGTCGTCGCCCCACAGCCGGCGCTGGCCGGTGGTCAGCCGCCCCTCCCGCCGGTCTCCGCCATCTTTCAGGTGCGGGACCTGGAAGTGATGGTCCGACTGGGCCCGAGGCCCATGGCGTCTGTGCGCCGGCTGGGAGCGCGTACCATCGCACTAACGACAGAGGAGCTCAGAGCTGTGCGGGGCGCGGTGCAAGGGTACCTGAGCAGGCCCGGTCACACGGGTCAGGTCAGGCTGGTACCGGCACCGGCCGCCTATGGGCCGCCGCTGCCGCCGCGCTGGGACGCGCCAGACTGGGGCCAAGGGCTCCGCTTCGCGCCCCCGCCGGCGGACGTGGGAGGTGTGAGAGGCTTTTTGTGGAGTCAGCCCAGCAGCGGCGGTGGGCCGCAGCCGTCCGGCCCGCCTTCGGCGCTGCACGTTGCGCTCGGGACCAGGCCGCAGCCGTCGGCGGCGACTTTCGGCCAGGTGCGGACGTACGGACAGCGGCGAACCGACCCGCCACGCCCGTCCAGCCCGGTGGCGTACATGGCGGCGGACAGCACGAGCCCGGCGGTGGGCTCGCGGCCGCGGCGGCGCACGCGACGCGTCCAACGCTCGCTTTCGCCTTCGCCCGAGCCCGGGCCCGGGCTCACGCCCTCGCCGGAGCGCGACAACGACGAGTCGGCCGACTACGTCTGCCGGGCGGGTGAGGCGCGCTCGTCGGCGGTAGGGCTGCGGTCGGTGCGCGGCGCCAAGGTGGCGCGCGGGCGGGCGGGCCACGGGACCTGGCGCCGCTGCTGGGTGCCGCCGGGCGAGCAGGCGCCAGAGCCGCGCAGGAGCGACGCCGAGCCGGCGCCACGCCGAGAGCCGGCCGGCGCCAGTCGCGACAGCGCGCCGCCGCCGGCGCAGCGGTCCGCCGGCCGCTCGTCCGGCGCCGAGTCGGACGAGGAACCGGCCTCGCTGGGGCTGGGCCCGCCGCCGCCACTGCCGCGGGGGCGGCGGCCGGCGCCGCCTTCGGCCGGGCTAAGCCAGCTGCTGCTGCCGCTGCGCCGGCCGCCCGAGGACAGCATGGCGCGGCTCTCCTACCTCTCCTGCAGCAGCGGCGAGGCGAACGAACGTTCGCCGCCGCGGCCGGCCTCGCCCTCTCAGCCGGGCGCGGCGACAGGTGAGCCGGCGAGCTGCGGCGACGAACTGCCGCCGGCGTGCCGCAGCGGCTGGCGCTGTATTGTTGAGCGAGCTGGCTCTTGTAGACGAAGTGTTTCCTCGCCAGCCATAGTCATTGCTCTTTTATGTGCTTGGAACGAATGCTATTCATTTCACATGATCCGCGGCGATTATTTCACCCCAGGCGCTACCCATGTCCGGGGAGATTCGTCTGTTACCGAGACTGGCGCTCGAGGGCCGCAGTTACGTCTGCGGATCGTCGGCACCGTTGTCTGCCGCAGGTGAGGTCGACGACGACAGCAGCCACAGTGACACTGCCAGCCCGCCGTGCGGACAAAGGCCGCTGCAGTCGCCCGAGCTCTTCGAGCCGCCTTCCCCGCCGGAGGAGGACGAGGAGGAGGTGCAGGTGCTCTCGCCACCGCCCGGCACGAACGGCGTGCCCGCGCCGAATGCGGCCGCGCTGCGCGTGCGTGCGCCACTCTCGCCGCGGCTGTCCGGGCTCGCGCAGCCCTGGCGGTTCAGCCAGGAGGGCAGTGACGGCGGCCGGCAACAAGTGACACCCGCCAACAGAGGTAGGAGATCCTGTGTGGGCCGAGGTCGGGCAGCGCCGGGCCGTGGCGGGAGCATGGCGACTACCGACGCCGGCAGAGGTAGAGGGTCCGCCGCCACCGGTGGTCGGGGCCGGGCAGCGCCGGGCCGTGGGGCAGGCAGGACACCCACCGGCGCCGACAGAGGTAGAGGGACCGCCGCCACCGGAGGGGGTAGAGCCCCTACCGCAGAGAGAGGGAGGAGTTCGGACCGTGCCAGATCCGGCGGATGGCTGGTCATCGGAAGTTCGGCCACGACGACCAGCCGAGGACTCGGTAGAGGCCGGGCCTCTCAGCTTCAGCCGTCTTCCGTACCGTTCCTCCCGACGATCAGCCAGATCACGTCTCTGGCGGCGCCGCCGGAGGAGAAGGAGGACGACGACGACCTGATCCTGCTGTTCGATAACTCGCAGCGCCCAGGCGTGGAGGTGGTGGACCTGCAGGACTCCGACGACGAGGAGGAGGGCGCCGGGAATACGGAGCGAGTGCCGTTTGTCGGCAGCCCCGGACTGGGCTCAGGGGAGGACCCAGGTGAGGACAATTCTGAAGCGGGTACAGAGGATGATCCGGATGTCAGCCCTGAACCCGGCGGTAATGATCCAGGCGGCAGTCCCGAGCAGGACTGTGAAGATGACGCAGAAGTGGGCGGTCGTACACCAGGCTGTGAGGGCGATCCAGACGTCAGTCAGGAGTTGGACCCCAAGGACGATCAGGTCGTTCGCAGCCCTGAACCCGTCTTTGTGGATATCGCAGACGCCGACAGCCCCGAACTGAGCTGTGATGACATTGTCGATGTCGGTAGCCCGGAGCCGGCCTGCGCTGACGGCCAAGGCGTGGGTACCGCTGAACCAGTCTCTGGGGACGGCCAAAATACTGCTGAACCAGTCTCTGGGGACGGCCAAAATACCGCTGAACCAGTCTCTGGGGACGGTCAAAATGTTGGCAGCCCTGAGCCGGTCTGTGGAGAGGACCGAGGCGTCGACAGCCCGGAGTTGGCTCATGATTGTCGGATCGCGGGCGGCTCGCTCTTCGTTAGCAGTGCGAACTCAGGCCAGCGGAGGTCGGACGAGGTCTCCGGCCACAGTGGGCTGAGCTGCCGTTTGTCTGCAGAGGCGCCAGACAGCACGGCCGGCTCTGGGCCGGTCCGTCCAGCTGCCTTGCCGCCGCAGGAGTCCTCAGAGAGTTGCAGACCGGAGCAACAGTCAGGGGAGGTCGCGGGGAGCCTCGGTCCGGCGAGCCGGCCGCAGGAGGCCGGGGAGAGCCCCGGCGTGGACCGTCGGGCGGAGGAGGCCACAGAGAGCTTCGAGCCCGGTCAACAGCCGCAGGAGGCCGGGGCGAGCCCCGGCGTGGACCGTCGGGCGGAGGAGGCCACAGAGAGCTTCGAGCCCGGTCAACAGCCGCAGGAGGCCGGGGAGAGCTCCGGCGTGGACCGTCGGGCGGGGGAGGCCACAGAGAGCTTCGAGCCCGGTCAACAGCCACAGGAGGCCGGGGAGAGCCCGGGCGTGGACCGTGCGCCGGGAGAAGTGGCGCGCTGCACTCCGGACCGCCCGACGCTGGAGGAGGCGCCAGGCTCGGGCAGCGCCGATGAGTCGGCCTGGCTGCCGCTCCGCGAGAGCTGTCTGTACGACGAGTCGCTGTCGCCGCCGGACGCTCTGTTCGCCGGTGGCGACAGCAGCCCCGCCGCTGCTCGCGAGGCGATCCAGTCTGTGTGGGGTGAGGCAGAGGCAGGCCGGTCCCTGCCTTTCGGGACGGGAGCCGTGCAGTATCCGCGGAACGGAGCGGACGCCGGCCAGGCTGGGTGTGCCCAGTCTGACGCAGGACAGTCCCCTCACAGCCAGCCGACGCCAGGACCGTCCTCTCAAAGACAGTTAGAGATAGGCCGTTCTCCCGACAATAAGTCGGCTTCAGTTCACCGTTCGCACATTTTTTCTTCGCCATCTCCGCGAGACAGAGTCGTGTCGGCGCAGTCACTGCACAGCAGTCCCGAGTCACCGCAGTCGCCCAACATCACCCCCGAGTCTCCGCGGTCCTGCAACAGCAGGGCGGAGTCGGCACAGTCGCTGCACAGCAGTCCCGAGTTACCGCAGTCGTCCAGCATCAACCCTGAGTCTCCGCGGCCCTGCCACAGCAGAGCGGAGTCGGCGCCGTCGCTACGCAGCAGTCCCGAGTCACCGCAGTCGTCTAGCATCAACCCTGAGTCTTCGTGGCCCTGCCACAGCAGGGCGGAGTCGGCGCCGTCGCTGCACAGCCCACAGAGCTGCGCAGACGGCGCGAAAGACAGGCGGCGCCCAGCGCAGTCCCGGCGCACCAGTCACGATCTCGGAGGAGCCCTCGCGAGCACGTTCGGGTCAGCCGGCGGTCTCGGGGAGCGGTGTGAGTCCGCCGAGGATGAGTACCCCCCACTCGGGCCCGGGCAGGTGGCTTACGAGGGCCCCGAGTGCGGCCAGTCCTCGCACAGTCTGCCGGGGCCGGGTCGATCGCCGCACAGCCGGCCCGCGTCGGCCCAGATGTCGGCGCCGTCTCCGCAGCGCCGACCGCGGTCGGGTCGGCCCGAGCGGGGTGGCTCAGAGTCTCAGCAATCGCCTCTCGGGGTGCCGGAGCTGGGGCGGACACCGCGGGGCAGCCCGAGCGGCTCCGCCGGTCAGTTCGGACGGCGGTCGCCTGCCGGGGACATGATCCATGAAGGCGACTCTGCGGTTCTGACGGCGACAGGGGACGCACATTGGGACACGGCGGCAACTGCAGACGAGTTCGGCGCCGTGCCAGCCTCGTCCGGACCGTCACTCGCGCGCGAAGGCCGTCAGGTGGGAGTGGTGACAACGATGTTGACCGTCGGTAGTCCGAATCACACCTCCGACGAGTCGTGCGACATTTTCTGGAACGATTTCGAAGAGGTCCTTCAAGCGGCAGATAGCGAGCACGGAGGTCCTGTGCCGAGGCCTGGAGATCAAATCCAGCCAACATCTGGTGGGCGTCGACCGGACGGCGCGTTGGGTGTGAGCCCCCACACGGCGGGGGAGCCGCATGCGGAACACCAAGGCACGTTCGGCAGCCCGAGGAACCAGGCTGGTCCGCTGCCGGGTCACGGGCTTGTAATGGCGGCGGAGACCGGGCCCTCGTCTGTCGCTAGACGCTTAGTGGAGACTGAGCCGACAGAGGAAGATGAGGCCCTGGATGATGCTGAGCCGTCAGATGAAGTGGAACACTCAGACAAAGGTGGCCCTTCAGACGGAGGTGGCCCTCCAGACGGAGCGGGACCCTCAGACGGAGCGGGACCCTCAGACGGAGCTGGACCCTCAGACGGAGCTGGGCCCTCAGACGGAGCTGGACCCTCAGACGGAGCTGGACCCTCAGGCGGAGCTGGGCCTTCAGACGGAGCTGGATCCTCAGATGGACCGGGGCCCTCAGACGGACCTGTACGCTCAGGTGGAGCTGAATCCTCAGATGGACCTGGGCCCTCAGACGGTCCTGTACGCTCAGATGGAGCTTGGCCCTCAGACGGACCTGTACGCTCAGCTGGAACTGGGCCCTCAGACGGACCTGTATGCTCAGATGGAGCTGGATCCTCAGGTGGACCTGGGCCCTCAGACGGACCTGTACCCTCAGATGAAATTGGGCCCTCAGACGGACCTGCACTCTTAGTTGGAGCTGGATCGTCAGATGGAGCTGGGTCCTCAGACGGAACTGAACGATCAAATGGTGAGCGATCGTGTGAAGCAAGATGTTCAGCCGGGCCTGGGTCGTCAGAAGGAACTGGACCCTCAGATGAAACTGTGCCACCAGAAGTCCTGCCCTCAGACGGAGCTGAACCATCAGGCGAAGAAGGGGCCTCGGGCGGAGCCGGAGATGCGCCCAGAAATGCTCCATCTGATACAGCTGAACGCTCGGTCGCGTGTGGACCGTCAGGTGGAGCGAGATTAAACGACCCGGATTTCCCGAGGTCGCTTGAAGGCCCCTCCTTTCGAGAAAAGCTGACGAATGCGGAGGCAGCTGTGACGTCACACGTGGCTGGGGAGGCGGCAGCCGAGTGTAACGATCTGGACGGTGAGAACGCAGAGATCGGACGAGCTTTTATGTCTGTTGTTCTGCTTCGTTTCTGTTTGGAGTATTTGCTTCGCCTCCATCCGGATCCCTCACACGTCCCCCAACCCACCAGCGAAGCACTGCCGGACGCGTCGAGTGGCGTCAGCCAGGCGCTTCCAGGACGGCTAGGTTGTTCGTCCAAGCCGAGTCACGCTGCAGGCACGGCGGAAGCCGGTCATGGGACAGGAGCGTCGGAGCGAGACGAGAGCGTGAGGCCGATTGAGTCGGGCTATCAGACGAGGCCATCCGACTCGGGAGGTCAGGGCAAATCGTCTGGCCCGGGAGACCAAACGAGACCGAATGATGAGTCCGGGTACCAGACAAGGCCTTCTCCAGTGAGCGGCCGGTCCGCCGCCGGGGGACCGGCCGCTGGTCCGCTATCGGCGGACCAGCCCGGGCGCGGGGGCGGCGGTCCGTCGGCAGGTGGCGCGGACGGCGGCCGCGGCCCTGTCCGGCTGCTGCTGCCGGCGCCGCCGTCCCCGGCCGCCGTGCGGGCGTCGCTGCCGGCGGTGCCAAGCCGCGCGGTGCTGGGCGCCGGCCGCGCCGCACCGCTGGAGCCGTTCGAGGGTGTGTGCGCCGCCAGCGGGCTGCGCCACTGGCGCACGGTGGCGGCGGCCGGCGCCGCCGAGCCCGCCGACGTGACGGCGCTTGTGGCCGCGCTGGAGGAGCGCGCCACGTGCGCGCGCCTGGCCGGCCGCGGCCACTGCACTCTGACCCCGGCCCGGCCTCCGCCCAGCTGCCGCAGCGTGCGCGTCTGGCTGAGCGGCCGCCGCCGCCCCCGGCACCGCGTCGACTCGTCCAGCGACAGCGGCAGCAGCGCCAGCGAGGAGGAGCTAGAGCAGGGGCACGCAGCGGCGCCGGCCGGCGGTCCGACCAGCGCCAGCACCCCGTTGACGGCGGTGGCGCCCGAGTCGCTGCCGGCTTCGCTCGGTCTCACGCCCGTGACTGGCGTGCGGCGGACGGCGTCGTACGGTCGCGTGACGTCCCTGCTCACCCCCGTCAGCCGGCGGCCGGCTAAGCGACGGCGCGTGGGCCGAGCCGAGCCGTCGCCGGACGCGCGGCCTGAGACGCCTACGGGCGGGACGACCGACGGTGGACCGCGACGCTGGCTGGAGCGTATCCCAGAACGGACAGAGGCAGGGGAGGCACCGTCTAGGGTCGGCCAGGGGGCGCCGGGTAGCGCCAGTTCGCCGTTGCCGGCGCCGGGCGGGAAGGCGCCGGACAGTCGGCCGGCCAGCTCTGAGGAGCCGCAGTCGGATGACGTGGCGGCGGTGCTGGCACGGGACCGCACCACCTTGGTCAGTCCGGCGCCGGCGCCGCGGGACCCGGCCGGCGCCTCGCCGCTGGAGCCGTCCCTGCTCGTCAGTCCGTCGTACGGCCTCCAACGGGCCAACAGCGCCGACAACACGTACGGGTTCAAGCTGGACTGGGATAACCTGCAGGACGCCCAGTGTTCGCATGAGGTGAGGCGGGTGATTTAAGGTGGCCGTAATGATGTTTAGTTGGGCTGTGGTCGACCACTTGGGTTTCAGTTATGTAGGGCTTGTCCTCGCCGTTGCGAGCTAATCCAATCAAAACCATGCCCATAGATAAGACGGTAGCATTAGCCGTATTCCTTGGAAAAAGCAAGAGAAATGAGATATAGTTAGGTTGATATTTGGGCAGCATGCCTTTCTCGAAACAAAGCAGAAGTAAATTCAAAATTGCCTGCCGATGATCCTACTCGATTTTTCAGGTTTTTTTTAAACAGCAAGCCACAGTTTTTACAGAACACCATTACGCAGGGGATAAAACAAAGAGCAATTGCCAGCCATTGCCAAGATACAGTGCCTATCTAAGGATTGGAATACCCGGACATACGTCTACATGCAAACGAATTCAAGCAAATAGGTATCTCGCAGCACGCTTCATTCGAATATGCAAGCGAGCTAAACTAAACAGGCATCACAAATCGCGCACCAAGTATGCAAATAATTTCAATTTAACAGGCGGCGCACATCACGCGTCGGGCATCACTTACACATATGAACGACTAAGCTAGCACACATCACGCATAGAGGCACATATCACGTTCGCGTAATTGGCCATGATGATCCCTGTATGTTAAGATTTGGTCGCCGACTTTTTATAAGAATAGTTTCCTGTCTGGGTGGTCCTGTGCTCTGTAGATGACTTTGAGCTCTAAAAGGGGCATGGGATCCATACGTTCCTCGATTTCAGCCTGAGCGTGTTTTGCCAAGAAATGGTCACCAGAAGGGGTATTCCCTGTTTTGTTTTTAGCGTCTCGCAGGTGTTCATTATATCTCAAACGAATAGCGCGCATGGACTCCCCGACATAGACTATATCCCTCCCATGTTTTTGACATAGTTTGCACTTAATTTCGTAAACTACGTTTTTTGCGTGCAAACCCCTCGAAACCCAGAATTGCATAAGTGAGATCTGTTGCCACCCGGGCACTGAGCCTTCGAGATGGAAGATTTCACCAGATAATTTCTAAGGTTTTTGTCGTTTTTCCAAGCTCTGCGTATGTGCAGTTTTGATTTTAACAATGTGTTCGGTTTTCCAAAGCAAATGTTCATCTATGTAAGGTAGCGTTAAGAATCCATCTCCCGATAGGACGTGTTCGCGCCTCCTATCATCCATCCCCCCCGCGCTCTGGACTTTTTTACTTTTAACATTCTACCTAAAAGCTGCGGAGAATATCCGTTGCCCAACAGCAAAGCCCATACTTTGTTTATGCTCTTTCTTTCTTTTTCACTACGTGATGAGTTCTTTAGAGCCCTATGGAACATTGTTCCGTGGGGTTCATCGGCAGGTACTTTTGAATTCACGTCTGCTTTTGTTTTGAGAAAGGAATGTTGCCGAAATATCAACCTAAATATATCTCCATTCTCCTGGTTTTTCCGGGGAATAAGGCTAATACTACTGTCTTATCTATGTGACTAATGTTCCTCGCTAATGCACTGAACGACTTACGTAATTTTAAAGCCATGTCTACTGCGTGAATAAACCATTTTGGCGATTTATGACAACTTAACTTCACGCACGGGTCGTATCCTCATTTGACGATTGATGCTTTCCTAACCAACCTTTACGTTGGTTCCTTTCCACTGCGTTTCATGTCATGAACATACGAGCGCTGTTGACTCGTGTCGGTTGTGGACTAATGGGTTTGCCCTACGCGTATAGGTTCTGTTTTTGATGGATCAGTTCTGAAGCTCGTCCCGCCGCTGGCCGGCCAGCCGTGTGATGGCAGCAGACGTGACAGGCCCGTCCGTGTTTTCAGTATCAATACCTGACCTGCCTGAGCCTGGAGGTGCACGCCGTGACCCGCGGTGACCTGCTCCCTGACCCGGAGCACGATCCGGTGGCCGCCGTGTTCTACCACCTGACGGACGATGTGCCGGAGAACTGGCGACGGCCCCGTCAGACCTCCGGTGCGGCCGCTGGCCGGGCGTGCGCCCGACAGCGCGGAGAGATGGTCTCGAATCTCGGGTCGAAGGGCCGGGCCCGAGCTGGGTCCGTTGCAGCAGGGCTCCAGGACGCCTTCTGGCCTGGAGGACCCTGTGGCTCCGCTCCGTTGGTCAGGCGAAGGGTGTTCAATGTTTAGAGGTGTGGACCTCAGCTCTGCCGCGCGCACCTTGGAATCGGGTTTTCCTTAGTATACTTCTGTTGTAGTTTGTGTGCAGAAACGTTCATCCGGTCACGTTTTCTGCTCTGCTGATACCTCCTTCACACCCACGGTTGTCTCGTATTCGCAGCAGATGATTGTGCTCTCGGAGCCCTTTACGCAGCCGCCCGTCCTTCCTTCGCGTGCTTGTCTGTGCCGTGCCCTGCTGTCTTTGCCCGTTTTTGTGCGCGCGGCAGCATTGCTGAGGCGTCACATGTCACATCACCTATTGGGGCGTCAAATATCACATCACCTACTGAGGCGTCACATGTCACATCACCTACTGAGACGTCACATATCACATCGCCTGCTAAGACGTCACATGTCACATCACCTGCTGAGGCGTCACATGCCACATCACCTGCTGAGGCGTCACATGTCATCACCTGCTGAGGCGTCACGTATCACATCACCTGCTGAGGCGTCGCATGCCACGTCACCTTCTGAGGCGTCTCATATCACATCACCTGCTAATGTGTCACATGTCACATCACCTGCTGAGGCTTCACATGTCACATCACCTGCTGAGACGTCACATGTCACGTCACCTACTGAGGCGTCGCATGTCACACCATCTACAGAGGCGTCACATATCACATCACCTGCTGAGGCTTCACATGCCACATCACCTGTTGAGGCTTCACATGTCACATCACCTGCTGAGGCTTTACATGCCACATCGCCTGCTGAGGCTTCACATGTCACATCACCTGCTGACGCTTCATGTTACCTGTCCGCCGGCAGGCTGTATCGTGGTCGACGCGCCGTCCGTAGTGTCTGAATCGACCGGTAGGCGGCGCCACCTGCTGCAGGCGGCCGGCCTGCCCAACCTCGCCGTGCGGTACGTCGCCGACGAGCCGGCCCTGCTGCAGGCGCTGATCGATCTGGTCAGCGGCACCGATCCGGATATCCTGCTGGGCTGGGAGGTTAGTGTCACCCGAGGGTCTCAACCGAGGCCCTCACTTGAGGTCCTCACCCCAGGCCCTCACTCGAGGTCCCCACCTGAGGCTCCCGCCCGAGACCACCCGAGGCCCTCACCCGAGGCCCTCACCCGAGGCCCTCACCTGAGGCCCTCACCCGAGGCCTGCGCTTCGGAAGAAAGTGCGAGCCCGGTCGCAGTCGGGGCTTCTTACGAGAATAGTCTCCAGGGGTACATTTGTGTACTTCGTTGAGAATGAGCCAAGCTGGCACATCGTTGCGTATGTACAAAGCGGCGAGGTCGCGATACATGCACATGTCATCCAGCCGTGATGTGTTCACTCTTTGTTATGGGAGTGCGGCCGACGGGGACATTCTGGGACGCCGGGAACACGCCTTTGTCAAACAAAGTATCACAATATTTCACTTGTTTTGTTCGAGACGACAAATACCTGAAAAATGTATTGATAGTCGTGCGGTAAGATGGCAATGCCATTTAACCGGGAATCTGGACGGCTTTTGCGAGCGAAGGATGGTTCACCGGACGCACTGTTGGGTTGGGAAACCAGAGTGGCCCAGATGATCCAGCGGCCGTCCAGGTGTGATCTGCCGCCTATGCCTAATACTGCCGGTCGGAGTATTTGCTGACGCGAGCGAAGGATGGTTCACCGGGCGCGACTGTTGGGTTGGGAAACCAGCGTGGCCCAGATGGTCCAGCGGCCGTCCAGGTGTGATCTGCCGCTGCGGTCGGAGTATTTGCTGACATCATTCATGTAAGCAGTCTTCATTATCAGCCGCATGTGATGGTCATGATCAGCGATAAACGAATCAAGCAACTAAACCAGCTCAGCCATTCTGTGTGCGACGGGCACAACGGCTGCGCCCGATCCTAACATGATACCAACCTGTGGGCGAAGCCGGGTGTTGCGACTGTCGCCGCTCTGTCAGTCGCCGCAGCCCGTGTCGATGTGTGGCAGGTGCAGCAGCTGTCCTGGGGCTACCTGCTGGAGCGCGCCGAGTGTCTGGGCCGGCCGCTGGTGACGTCCCTGTCGCGGCTGCCCGAGTGCCAGCGCGCCTCGCGCGCCGCTGCCGACTCGGACCCGTACGGCTCGGAGCACACCTCCGAGATCCACCTGGCCGGCCGGGTGGTGCTCAACGTGTGGCGTCTGCTGCGGCATGAGGTCCGTCGGTGGCGCCTCCGCCAAACTGCGCCAGCTGCGAGCGCTCGTTACGTTTTCCTATTTCTGCTAGGCTGGCGTCATGTTTAATGCCTGTAGCGGAAGTCGAATTGGAAGACCATCTTCCGGTTCCCATGTGTACACAATCGGTACGTGTCTTAGCATAATTGTTGCGGACGCCACTAAAGACGCTCGTTGCATTACGTTCTTCTATTATTGGCCGCTGTGCGTGTTGCAGGTGGCGCTGTACAGCTACACGTTTGAGAACATCGCTTACCAGGTGCTGCACCAGCGGCTGCCCGAGTTTAGCTTCCGGCAGCTGACCGAGTGGTGGCAGCACCCGTCCGCCGTCAACAAGTGAGCCAACGAGGTTATCATTCCTTGCCTGTGTGCCATCGTCCAGGATGCCTAGATATCGGGGCTAGATCTACTCCTGGCAGGGAAAGCCAGGGGATCTTCAGCGTTCAGGCTGGCGGTGCTGACTCCTTGGATTCCCTAGACTTGGATCGATTCCGCAGGCCCTCGTGGGCACGGGACCTCCGTCCCGCGTCCGGACGGTCGCTCCTCGAGTTGCCGCGGTGTCCAGCGCACAGATACGCCCCCGCTGCGGACCGGGCGTGACTGGCCGTTGCGTGTTCGTGATCAGGTGGCGGGTGGTCGAGTACTACGGCCTCCGCAGCCGGGGCACGCTGCAGATCCTGGGGCGGCTCGACATCATCGGCCGCACGGCCGAGCTGGCCAGGGTGTTCGGCATCCAGTTCTTCGACGTCATCTCCCGCGGCTCGCAGGTCGGTCGGGTGACGTCGCCTGCCGCGGCGAACGGGCCCGTGCGATGACGCCAGCTCTCGGGCAGGTCAGGGCGCCCAGCCTGGCTCAGTAGTTGTCCTCACGGCAGTCGTCCTGGACCAAAAACAAATGGACATAAGTATTGACAAATGAACTACTGTCGTGTGAAATCAGCCAAACTTCATTAAAAAAGCTGGGGTTGTTTTTGTGTCGTACAGATCAATGGTGCTCAATCTGCCCTCAGTTTTAATCACCCTCCGCCTTAGCTGCTGATAAGGCCCTAATGAGCCTTGTGACCCCATTCACTGGCGTGCCAGCGCGCCTCGGCCTCAGCGCGGCCACATGACACCTGGCGCCGGTTGCAGTTCCGCGTCGAGTCGATGATGCTGCGGCTGGCCAAGCCGCGCAACTTCGTGCCCGTCTCGCCGTCTGTGCAGCAGCGAGCGGCGGCTCGGGCGCCCGAGTGTGTGCAGCTCATTCTGGAGCCCGAGTCCAAGTGAGAGCGCACAGAGCGTAGAGCGCATTTCATGAGCTGGTGAAACTGCTCCTGAGGCCGTGGGTGGACGAAGGGCATCGCCGAGGAATGCCAGTGTCGGAGTTGTATTCAGGCGTCGCCTCTGGGCGGCAAAGCGATCTTTGCATCTCCCAAATGAGCGGTCGGTGCCGTTGCGAAGCATGAAGTTGCATGTCAGCGAAATGGGTAACGCCCGAAGCATCAGTGGTTGGATGCAAACGTCCCATAAATATCTCGTCATTCGTACTGCAGGAAAGAAAAGCAAGCAAATGGCGTGGATTTGTGGACGACAGGAGCAAAGGAGACTGCCAACCAGTAGCTGAATGTGTTACATTACCTGTGTCCACATGTTTGTGATTGTCGTGTCCTGACTTTGGGCCTCAGCGCTTTGATAGGCGTTGTCGAGTTACATACGCGTGCCGTTTCCGACACCGGTTGTGTGCGCAGTCGTGGGGCTGTCGGTGGTGCAGCTGCGTACAAACACCTGGTCACTGTGGCTGGCTGCAGGATGTACGTGGATCCCGTGGTGGTACTGGACTTCCAGAGCCTCTACCCGTCCATGATCATCGCCTACAACTACTGCTTCTCGACCTGTCTGGGACGCGTGGAGCACCTCGGACAGTGAGTCTGGTCGGGGACTAAGAAGCGGCTTGTTAAGTGAAGGTTACGTTCTGTGTTTCTCCCCTTTATTTGTGACTTACGGTAGCAAACTACGGGACAGTACGGGAACCACATGCACGACCTCCACCGAATAATGTTCCCCTCAACGCCCCGTCCTTCTGCCCCGCTTACGTGTGTGGGGGGAGGGGGCCTGCTGTTGTAGCGCGCATCTGGTTCGGGCGCGCGTGCGGCGCCGGGCGCTCACCTGCCGACGCTGCGCGCAGGCGGGGCGCGTTCCCGCTGGGCTGTACAGCCCTGCAAGTGCCGCCGCCGCTGCTGGCGCGCCTGCTGGCCCGGGACCAGCTGCACGTGTCGCCGAGCGGCGTCGCCTTCGTCACGGCTGACGTGCGCCGCGGCGTGGTGCCCGACATGCTGGCTGAGATCCTCGGCACGCGCATCATGGTGAGGCGCGCCGCGTCGGCACCGACGACGGCACCGTCAGCCGGTGCCGGGTGGCCTCCGGTTGGCTCTGATCGGAAGCCACGGTCGTCCGACAGACGGGTGACAGACGTCTGACTGACGCCGTCAGCGCTGGCCCATCCGGCTGTGCTCTGACATAAAGCTTGTGGCTGTGCAGAGTCCTCACGCTCATCGCCAGGTGCTCGGGCGCTGCGGGAGCGTTACTCGATGAGTGGAGGTGACGGGTACTGACGTAGACGTGCGACTGCAGGTGAAGAAGGCCATGAAGGCCAACAAGGACAATCCGTCGGTGAGGCGCCTGCTCGACTTCAAGCAGCTGGGTCTGAAGCTGATCGCCAACGTAACGTACGGCTACACCTCGGCCAACTTCAGCGGCCGCATGCCTTGTATCGAGGTCAGTCTTGTACCACTCCGACTTGCTGTTGGGCTGTCTTCTCAGGCCCACAGCAATGTTCATGCCTGAGAGGGCGGCTGTCCGAATCTGCCCACCTCGTCCCTAGCCGTATGCGTACGTTTGAAGCCCGGTTTTTGTCCTTGTTGCAGTGTATGGCGCTGTGCCGCGTTTCGTGCCGCATCTCAGTTTTTGTCTTGCTGTGCTCTGTCGTGCCCAGTGTTTGTGATGTCGCCTGCTGTCCAACGCTCAGATAGCGTCTGTTGTTCTCTCGCGGCGATCTTGTTCCTGTCGCTCCCCTTGTTTCCGCAGTCCGTTGTCCCCCCCCCCGTGGCCAGGAACGCACGCACGCACGCACGCACGCACGCACGCAATCAATCTCCTTCGCTGGCTGTTTGTGTGTGTATGTATGTGTGCGCGTGCGTGAGTGTGCATGTGCATGTACGTGTGTGTGTGATGTGACACACACGTCGCCCGCGCTGACAGTGTCCTGCGAGGGCCGGTGCCGTCCCCGACAGTGGGCCGATGATTGTGTCGGCTGCCACCAGGTGGGGGACAGCGTGGTCAGCAAGGGCCGCGAGACGCTGGAGCGAGCCATCCGCACCATCGAGTCCCGGCCAGAGTGGGCCGCCAGGGTGGTGTACGGCGACACTGACTCCCTCTTCATACTGCTCAAGGTGAGGGCCAGGGTGGTGTGCGGCGACACCGACTCCCTCTTCATGCTGCTCAAGGTGAGGGCCAGGGTGGTGTACGGCGACACCGACTCCCTCTTCATACTGCTCAAGGTGAGAGTCGGGGGGGGGGGGGGGGGGTCAGGAAGGTTATGGTGGCACAAACTCCTCTTTATGCTTTTGAAGGTGACGGTTGCATGCATTATTCCCGTGCGTTAGTTCTTTTCTGGTGCACTGCGTGATGTCAGAGCAGGCAGCTTGATGGCACCTCGCGCCCATTGCACAAAGATGCAGTTCACTGCATTGCGGCCTGACCTACAGTTTAGCGCGTTATTTTGCCACGAAACCATAACGTGCTGTATCTTCTGCCGCCGGCTATCGCGCGCACGGGGTTCACAGATCTAGCACCCGATCGTGGGGTCACGGTCACCGGTCACGTGGCGCTGTTGAGTGTCAGCTGCGCCGCCTCCCGTGCGGGCGGGCCGGACAGCGCCGGCCGAGCCCGGCGACGTCCGCTCACCGCGCTGCCGGTCTGTGGCGGCAGGGCCGGACCCGCGCCCAGGCGTTCGAGCTGGGCGCCGAAATGGCGGCCGCCGTCACCGCCGACAACCCCGACCCGGTCAAGCTCAAGTTCGAGAAGGTCTACCAGCCGTGCATTTTACAGGTGGGCTGGGGGCCGGCGCTGGGCTGCGGCCTTGTGGGCGTCCGTGGCTGCCTCCGCGTCACGCCCGGCTGCCAGCCGTGGCTTGGACATGGTGTGCAGGCCAAGATGTGGATGGCTGTCTCTAGGTTATGTGTATGCTTGCCCATTCTTACTGTTAGTATGCAGCGATCACACGCGGGCCGCCTAGCGTCCCCGGTGATTTGACGAACCTCGGTTTCGCTATGGCCCCTGAGCGCTAACATGTCTCGGCAGTCGCTTGCGCTCCATAAAATGGTGCGCAACGACGTAGGTTGCGTTCTTTTCGAAAAGATAAAGGATAATTTTATCCGTTCTGCCCGGTCGTGACCTCGGTTGTGCTGTTTCAACTGCTGGCGGTGGCGCATGACATTAACCCGCGCGGTCGCCATGTGCCTCAGACCAAGAAGCGGTACGTGGGCTTTATGTACGAGACGCCCGACCAGCAGGAGCCCGTGTACGACGCCAAGGGCATCGAGACCGTCCGGCGAGATGGCTGTCCAGCCGTTGCCAAGGTAATTGCCGCCCTCGCAGAGCACGTCCTGCAGGAGTTTTGGCAAGTCTCATCCAGCCGCCGCCACTGAAGCCCGGTTGGTCTCGCGACTGGTGAAGTTGGTGTGGGAGTAAGTGTCTAATCTCGCGTCACTTTGTGCGAGAGGTCCAAAACGCCACCGCTGCTCACGCTCTCTCCGCCATCTGGCTCTCCCGCTGACCTGCGGTGTCCGTGGACCTCGGGGGCCATTGGCGACGTTATCATTCGGTGGATGTGATTCGCGTTCCTAGTGTCCGTCGCTGACGTGATCACGATACGCGGCCACTATGGCAGACTGGGGGCCATGGGACGCTCAAACAACATGATAAGTACTTACCGCCAGCCAGGTTTCCCCACCGGTTCTGGGAGAGTGACCTTGGCGAAGTGACATTCGAGTCGATCGGAATCGAGCGCCCGTCACGCGGCGCTCCCGTTGGCGGGATGACTGAGGTGTTTTTTGCTGAGCCGCCACGTGCACCTGTCGGCCGCTGGGCAAACACACTGCCTCGCTCCGACCGGCGCCTGGCCCGTCCCGACCTCGCCTCGCCGCCTGCTCGCCTCCTTCTCCCCACCTGTCTGTTTCTCCGCCTGCCCGCCTCGTTGTCTGCTCGCCTGCTCGCCTCCCCGCCTGCTTGCCTTTCCGCCTGCTCGCCTCCCCCTCCCCACCCGCCTGTTTCTCCGCCTGCCCGCCTCGTTGCCTGCTCGCCTGCTCGCCTGCTCGCCTGCCCGCCTCCTGAACGGAGCCGACGCGTCGGCAGATCCTGGAGAAGTCGCTGCGCCTGCTCTTCACCAGCCACGACCTGGGCGCCGTGCGCGGCTACGTGACGCGCCAGTTCGAGAAGCTGCACCGCGGCGCCGTCAGTGTGACCGACCTGACGTTCGCGCGCGAGTACCGCGGCCGCGCCAGCTACCGGCCGACCGCCTGCGTGCCGGCGCTGCGCATCGCCGAGTACGTCGCTGGCGGGCTGACGTCACGCGCCGCCGACGTGACGTCAGGCTCTGGAGTCACGGCCGCAGGCTCTGGGGGCCGCCCGCGCCCCGTACTCGCTTGTGCTGTCAGGGTTCGGCCCTGCTTTCGGGAGTTCAGCACGTAGATGCCGTCCTTGCATGCAGTGGTCCCCACTCACTGGGTGCCGGTCTCCAAGGAGCACTGCCGTGCATTGGATCGTCGTGAGTCTTCAGGCGCCAATTGTTTTGCACCCGAAGTGTAAGTACGTGCAGGTCTTCAGTCGCGTTAAGGGTGTAGAGGAGTCAGAAATAGGATTGCCATGAGCTGCACACCATGTGAGTTTATTTATCCTTTTTACACTGTGTGGATATTCCTGGTTGTCATTTTACCGGTATCTAAGTTATGGCATTGAAATAGCGTAACAAACGAGTACCACAGTGTCTTAGATAGAGAGTCGACTCATACGGTCGTGCTCGGCCGTCACGTCCGCCCGTCCTGGCCGGGTCCCGTGTGACGCTCCGTCCCGTGCCCGCCAGCCGCCAGGTGCGAGCCGACCGGCGCGCCGAGCCGCGCGTGGGCCAGCGCGTGCCGTACGTGGTGGTGTACGGCGCGCCGGGCCTGCCGCTGATCCAGCTGGTGCGCTCGCCAGCCGAGCTGCTGGCCGACCCGGCGCTGCGGCCCAACGCCGAGTACTACGTGAGCCGGGCGGTGGCGCCGCCGCTGCAGCGCTGCCTGGGTCTGCTCGGCGTGGACGTGCTGGCCTGGTACGCCAGCGTGCCGCGTCTGCTGCGCTTGGCGCCGCCGTCGGCCGCCGCCGCCGCCACCACCATCTCGCGCTTCTTCGCCGGCCGCAGCTGCGCCGTGTGTGCGCGTGCCAGCGGCCGGCCGGTGTGCGCCGCGTGCGCCGGCCGGCCGCTGCGCACCCGGCTGGAGCTGGCCGAGACGCTGCGGCGCCGGGAGCGGGCGGCCGCCGCCGCCAGGACGGTGAGGGCCGCGCGGGACGCGCTGTGCGTCTCACGCGACAGCCTCGCACGGGACCCACTCATAGCCACCAGCTGGTGACCAGAGCTCCGATCTCACACATTTCCCGCACCCTCCAGGCCTCAGGCGCATCGTTGGCTCCCTTATCAACATTAAATCTACTGCAGATCGGAGGTCTTTGCGCTTGTTATAGGCCTACCGATTGCTTTTTCCATCTTAGTGGGTTCGTTGGGCCGGCCTAGTATTGTGCCTGTAAGACGTTTGTTGTGGTGAAAAGCTGACCACGAGTAGCTCATGTGTTTAGGAATCTTTGCATCCGGCATTTAGAGCCCGCCTAGCTTAAATCACTGCTGACTGTGCTTGCGGTGGGATTTCGTAACCGACGTGTTTGAGCATGGATGTAGTCCTGCGTCTGTTTTGGACACCAGCACTTGCTTCCTGCGGCTCGTCTGTTTGCCGGGACACTGACCATTCCGTGGCTCTCCGGGCAGGTGTGCGCCAGCTGCTTGGGCCAGCCGGCGGCGGCGCCCATCGCCTGCGTCTCGCTCGACTGTCCGGTGCTGTGGGGCCGCGTGGCGGCCGACCGGGCGGCGGAGGCGGCGCCGCACCTCCGACAGGTGCTGGAGTCGCTGACGGCCTAGCTGGACGGTCTGACTGGTCTAGAGTCGCTGGTGGCGTAGCTGAACAATCTCAGTAGCCTAGATTTGCAGCCGATCAGGCGCACCGATGCCAGGAATGTCTGAATAGCCCGGACTCGCTCCCCTGGAGTCACCGCTCCCCACCGTTCGACCAGCCTGGAGGGCTGCTTTCCCGGCCTGGGGCCACTGACGTGGAGTCGCAGGCGGTATGGTGGGACTGACAGACTGGCCTGGGGTTCCTGACAGTCCGAAGGACTGTCTTAACTGGTCTGGGGTCATTTAAGCACAGTGGAGCCCCCTCATGATCCGGTAGAAACATAGGCCAATGAGAACTATGGACACAGAAGCCAGCGGAATGCCGGGGACGCAGCAATACTGTCCGCCTGGAAATCGCGGACACGCAAGGCAAACGAGAGCTGTCTGGCCTCGAGACATTGAGGACACAGGTACCGCTTCGCCGCGCTGTTGACACGGTGTGTCTCGCGGTTACCAGTGCCCTGGAGGCACTTGTATTGGCCTTTTGGACCTGTCCAAAGCCCTGTGATAGCTAGGTCGAGCTTGCGGGACACTCCATGCTTCGCGGCACCGCGTCTGCCGCCTGGTGGGGCTGTGTGCCGCTGTCGCGGCCCGTGCTAACTGCTGTGATAGCGGAGTCGAAGGCGCCCAGCAGCGTCCCACCGGAGCTGGTGACTGGCTGAGCGCGTCCTCCATCGCCGCCGGGCGGGGAGCGGCCGCGTCACCTGTAGTCGGAAGGCTGTGTTTTGTAGTTATCTCGCTCTCGGTTGTGGCGCACGCTCGCGCGAGTTCCGCTGGGTCGAATAGACACTGCCTCCTTTTGTGTTGCTGGTAGGGTTTTCACGCGACTTGTTTGGTTATTTTGACCCTGCTAACTCAGGAACAGGCATCGTGCCGTGATGGTATCCATCGTGTATTTGTTGTGAACACGTACAGTCCCTCGTTGGTAAGGGCCATTTGAACACGATATTGCGAGGATGAGGTTTGAAGTGCATTATTTTTTATGTGAATATATCCGAAACAATTAGCAGCACCTGTCTGTTCAAGACAACGCTCCTGGTTATGAACGCCTCCACATCTGGTGGACGTCCGTTGCGCTCGTTTCGTCCATTTTCAATGGTGAATTATTCGGGCCCAGTCCATGATCAAACACTTTCGTGCGTGACTGGTCCAGACATGGCTACAAACTCGCGTGGTGGTCGCTTGGAAAGCCAGCATGGTCACATGTGGAGAGCACTTAGTTAAAAAGGCACTGCCACGCTGCGGTATCAGTTCGCGTGTATTGGAACATCAGATACCCAGCCCGGTTCATAATCATACTAACGGTCGCGGCAAAATGTTGCCAGATGCAGGACTTGTCCACGCGCACAGGGACAAACTCAGACATTCCGTCGTTCATCATACCAGTGGTCATGGTAAAATGTCTCGAGGCAGTCATTTCGTTCCTGAGTCTTCTCGCGAAAATCTCGGCCAGGTACAACGGGGATCAAACGCCCTAAACCATACCATTGCACGAGAGACTACGCAGTATGCAAGACTAGACGGAAGACTCGGAGGTCACCGCCCCTCTTCCGATCGCCTCATGCAGCACGGGCACGGGCGTGTCTGTCGAGGGGTACACGCGAACGGCGGCCACACCCGCGGCGGCCGCTGCCCGCCGACCGCCTCGCTCTCGGTGCCTGGTCCGCGGCGGTGCTCCTCCCAGGACGCCTCGGGGGCGGACAGGTCCAGAGGCCGGTCCTGAGCCGCTCCGACCGGCCGGACGGCGGCGGGGACTAACTACCCTTCGACCGGCCAGGCGGCGGCGGGGACTACTCATCGGTCGGGGAAGGCGGCGCGGGCGCGGGCGTCGGTTCCGGCCGGCGCCGCTGCAGCGCGCCCGACACCGTCTCGTACACGACGAACGTGATGGCCGTGGCCGGCACGACGCGCGTCAGGTTGGGCGCCAGGCCCTTGTAGAAGCCGCGCCAGCCCTCCTCCCTGCGACAGGGCGGGCGGCGTCACGGCATGGGGAGGGCAGAGCACGGGGAGAGCAGACTACTGGGGGAGGGGGAGGTGGGTGGAGTCACCGCTGCTCGCGGGGGATGGACCATGACACCCATCCATAGACAGGAGAGACGAAAAATGGCGGCAGAAACATATCGTGCGGAGGGGGGGGGGGGGGCAGACTTTCCTGGAGGAGAATCAGCGCCCTTTACTCGTGACCTTTAGCTGGCCTTGGTTATGTCGCAATAATGCAGTCATCGGGTTGTTGATATGGCCGAGTGGCTTTGTTTGGCTTCTTTACTGTTTGGGGGTGCTGACAACGCACCGTTCATTTGCTTCACAGACAATGCCAGCAACGCCGGGGAGCAGGCGTTCATGCACAAGGACTTACCGGGTACATATATTAAACGGTTCGTGAATTGTACAGTGCCAACTGAAACGGTCCGCTCCCTTGAGCAGTGAGAGGTCTCGTATAAGATCGGACCGGTAGGTGATCCTAGGAGAGATCAGCAACCGAGCCCAGAACCTGTCCAGAGCTGGAGGAAGGGAGACGACACAATGCACCCCCACAACGAGCACCGTCACCTCTCCTCACCGTCCAGGAATAGGGCCCGTGGCCGTCAGTGGACCGGGGTGTGGCAGGAGGCACAAGCAAGGCCCCTTTCAGACCAGCCGCTCCACGCTCGTCGCTGGAGAAAGTGAACTTAAGGCGCCACCGGGAAGTAGGAGTCTTCGGCGAGCCCTATTCGCTGAGTAAACCTTGCCGGGAGAAGTGATATAAATGATGTCCGTAAAGCTGGCGTTTTACTGTTGTTCGAATTCAGCGTCGATGCGATTTGTACTCAGAAATCAGGGCGGAGATCAAGTTCACACATAGTTGCCCCGGGGCCACGCCTCCTCATCCCCACCCCAGTTTATGGCATGCATTGTTTTGTACGTGGCTATATACTGCAATTTTTAAAAATTTCACACAGACACGCACATAATAAGATGGAGAGCATGCGATGCTGATTTGCGAAACGCAGAAAACCGTGTACGCTTACGAAGCGCCAACCTCGGTTTTTGGCGGCATTCTTTTCTATACGCCCCCCCCCCCCCGCATTCCGAAAACCTGCACACACCACTGGATCATGGTACAAATCTGAATCGCAGCGAGTGCGCAGATCACGAGGTGACATGCGACGGGTGCCGCACATATTCGTTCCCGGCGAATAATTGGGTACGTGCTGCGCTGGCATCTGGCCGGACAGCATCAGCACCACAGCCCGGTCCGTGGGCTCCGCGCTGCCCGCGGTTGGCGCCCGGCCTTGGTCGGCCGCGCTGGCATTTGGCAGCGAACGGCGATCAGCCCCCCGCCCGACGTCCCATTGTCCGTCCCAGATAGACTCGTATCACAGTCTGCTGCTACCCGGGCGGCGTCTGAACAGGGACTCGACCCACGTCAGGCGCGGAGGACTTGACTCGCGTCCGCCGGCTCTGCGGAGGACTGAACTCACGTCTGGGTCAGATGGAGAGTTCGACTCACGCCTGAGTCTGGAGGACTCGACTCACCGTCTGGGTCCGATGAAGGACTCAACTCACTTCTGCCCGATGGAGGACTCGGCTCACGTCTGGGTCCGATGAAAGGCTCGACTCACGCCTGGGTCCAATGGAGGACTCGACTCACGTCGGGGTCCGATGAAGGACTTGACTCACGTCTGGGTCCGATAAAGGACTCGACTCACGTCTGGGTCCGATAAAGGACTTGTCTCACGTCTGGATCCGATGGAGGGTTTGACTCACGTCTGGGTCCGATGGGGACTCGACTCACGTCTGGGTCCGATGGAGGACTCGACTCACGTCTGGGTCCGATGGAGGACTCGACTCACGTCTGGGTCCGATGGAGGACTCGACTCACGTCTGGGTCCGATGGAGCCAAGATAATCTAACAGCCAAGATAACCAGGTATAACATTCATGATGCCTGTGATGGCGAACTTTTGTTGCGGTTGGTCCCAATAAAAATTGGTCCACACTCACAATCAAATACGAATGTTCTACTAAGTATTACGTAACTATTGCACCATTCCAGAGCGTCAGTGAGGACTAGCCCACGACTGCATTCGGTTAGTAACGGTTACATTCGGTATAGCATGAGTGCGACCTGGTTCGACCAGCATGTGATCTTATGTTTGTCAATTTCATGCAAAGAGGCGGCTCATGTCCGTGGTGGCCCGTCTCACGTTCGCCCAGGGCAGGTCATGCAAGTCCCCTCCGCCGTCCGTAAATCTCATGCAGCATCAATGTCAGACTCTATGCCCTTCGATCCAGGCTTGCCTCAAGGGCGGTCACGGGGTCCGAGGAAATCCGTTAAAAAACCAAATGCACCGCAAGGGCACACAACAAACACAAATAGTGTTGACGAAAAGACCAGGACAAGCATGCTTGGGTTCAGCATCCCCGTAAGCGTCCAGTTGCAGGATACAGGGTCCGGATCCTGAGATCTGCTTATGGGATCCGGACACGTCCACTCCAGAAACGACGACAGCCATGCGCCCCAAATGTCTGTCGGGCCGCAATCAACACCGTCATGAACTCAACATGAATCGTCAACTCACGCAATATACGCGGCCGGCAGCAGTGGTCTGCGACGCCACTTAGCCCTGCTTAAGTGAACCACGACATTCCAGGAGTCAGCTAAAGCATGCAAACGGAATGGAGTGACTTTCGGGCGAGAAGTGCAGAGGTCACATTCAGTCCAGATTTCCTGGAGACAAACAAGGCGCCTAAAACGGCAGCGAAACACCCAGCTGGCCATCTGGCGGCTGGGGCGATGAGTGCCAGCTTCCCCATCCACACGATAGCGAAGGGTGACCGGGTGGGCTGTGTGCTGCGCAGCACCATCTGGCCGCTGCTGTTTTGGTCGTACGGGGGGCGGATGTGTTGCGGAGTACACGTGGTGACGCATGTACTGCCATGTCCAGCTGCAAAAGTGTCTTGCAGAGATAATGTCCCGCACGTCCGACCTCGCCATCCGTCTGTCTTGAAACATGAGTCCTCGCGTGAGACAAATGGATCCTGGTCAGCAAGACCTGAGTCGTCCACCTATGTAAGGCCCGCGCTTCTCCGACACCCAGCTCGGATAAAATAGCAAACTTAAGCCTAAATGCATGCACTGACCTCCATATTAAATTTGTCACCTACCCTGTTTGCCCAACCGTCACTTCATCCTAAATGATCGCAACACGCCGTATCACTGAGTATGCCACGGCCGTCCAGCGCCAAGCGTCACCACTTACCTCTCTCCTCGCTCCCTCAGATCTGCGGTGCTCAGTCATGGACGAAACAGCTCTAAGCCTGGCCAAGCAAATCCTGTTTGTCGGCCATCTCCTTTCTGGCAGCAAACAAGATCCAAAGCTCGGCAGGCCCCTTTATCAATCCTGTGATGGGGCCGTTTAAAGCGGACGGCTGATGAGGTGAGGCGAATTCCTATCTCAGGACAAAATCATATCGGTGGCGACCATGGAGCTCATCGTCTCAATACCCTGGTGCTCAAACTGGGATGTCAAACTTGTCCGCACTATAAGCATTTCACAATGCGCCAGGCAGGCAAAATGAACCCATCTCACGCATAGCCCCGAAGGTCCTTTGCAGGTAGTGCACCACATAGCTTTGCAAGGAGATGTGAACGGCGAAAATGGTTGAGAGCTGTGTCTGTGTGCGAGCTGGTTCAGGGTCGGGATGGGGAGGTTCAGTCGGGATGCGGGGATTCAGAGTCGGGATGCGGGGGTTCAGAAATGTCTTTATTCGTTACCTTTGGCTTACTTCCACCGGTCTGTTCATTTATCCGAAAGTCTGAGAGGGAAGCCGCTTCCTGCCACGAATCCCAAGCACTGCGAGGTTGGCACCCAATAAATGATTTGAACCCGCACTTGCCACAGGGACTCCTGCCCCGCGTTACCGCCAAACACCACGCTTAACATCGCCCACTCTACCTCCGACCGGCCTGCCCATGCCTGCCCCACGGGGTGTCCCGCTAAGCTGGCGGCTGGGATGGGGGATCTTCTGACCCCAGCCGGGCCGCGGCACCGGAAGTCCCTCAGTCCGGGTCCCGGCGAGCCAAGGACGCCGTCCCATACTGTTGCCGTCTTCCTCACAGCTGCACTCCGTGTCAAGCGTGTAGTGTGTCCATTTACTGTCTTAGAGCTACGTTAAGTCAGGTGAACCTAGCTAACGACGGTATTGCGGTACAGAAGTAAGTAATTTCAATTACAACATGCGCAAATTGGGTGTTAAATTAAGCAATATTCCCTAGCGTTATCAGCACTCTGCATAGCTGGCGGTACCTAAGGACACTAATGCTGACTTCTAATTGGGCGGCGCACATTGAGCACGGCCCGGGCATTATGTGGCCCTGCCGAAGGTGAAGGGGCGCGGGCCGCCGTAGGGCTGGAGGAATGCGATCCCTCAGGATAACAGTCAGCCCGACCCCCACCCCCCGACCGACCCCGACCCCCACCCCTCGACCGACCCTATCGTTAGCGGCCCACCTTTTACTTCGGCCGATTTGGCGAAACCCTCAACAACCATCAACTGCCAGTTAGGGACCAAGTGCTGTCGCTTGTGGCCGACCGTGTGTCGAGGCAGTTTGTCGCAGGATCTCCAATTTTAAACTCCGTTATGCAACTCGTCCAGGCCTGAGACGGCCCCGGACAGCGGCTGCCAGACGCGTCTACAACAAGCACCGCGTCTTCGACCAAACGGGCGGCATTCCACCCAGCCGAACTGGTTGCACAAACCATCTTCTCGGCGATTAATAAAAAAATCTGCTCATCAGGCGCTCCTCAACGCAAAGGTCACAAAAACTGGATCTATTGTTGCCGTTTCCAAGGCAGTGCAGTTATACCAAACGGCTGAGATGTTGAGCGATGGTGAATGAGCGGTATGGTTGTTGTTTATTGGTGTTTTCGGGTGCGTCGACTGCGCTGGTCATTTTGCCCCCAAGTGAATGGGCGTTAAGTGAATACCTTATTCTGCCTGATTGGTATGCTGCGTAATCACACCAAGACGAGTGCGGCGCGAATAAAAATTTCTTAAAATATGGAATTAAACACTTCGCCTAAAAGACGCGATTGACCTATCCACGCATCCCGCTCGGCCACGGACCCAGAGCGGTGGGATCACCCCCGTATCCCGATTTCCCTACATCTGCGCCATGTTGTGCCACAACTCATGACTCCTCCATGAGGCATGCCTGGAGGAGCTCCACACGGCGGCGCGCCCGCGCCTCGTCGCCGAGGGGCACATTCCAAAGGTGGGTCCGACGGTCACCAGCGGCCCGATCAATAGGCGCGCGTCCCCGGGTGACGGGACCCGGGGCCGATGTTCGGCCGTCTATTCTGGTGGCGCCTGCCGCTCGCCCACCCCTGGCGCCCGGCCCAGCCCCGGCCGTCTCGTGACCCTGCCCCGTGACGTCACCGCACGGGTGAGGAGTGACGTCACCAGTCGGTGGCCTGCGGCGGGCGGTGACCGAGGACGTCCACCCGAGTCCAGGAAAGGCCAGTTCAGCCAGGGGAATGACGAGCACATCATGCAGTCGCAGATTGCGGCTGCACGGACCACCCCGGCGTCACGGGAGCCGCGTCTGCGGGCTAACGTTGAGGCGCGTCAGCACCACGGCGTCGCCTGGCGCCCCCGTTGCTTGGCGCGGCATCCACCAACGACGGGCGATAACCTTGCGTAAGGCTTTCGAACTGGCAGACACATGCCATGGTGTCGGGCTCCGAGCCCGTTCTAGCTCTCGTGGGGCAGGCCGGGTCCGTGGTGCGACTTTGGAGGTGGAACCTAGACCAGGCACCGCACCCACCTTGTGGTTGGCCGCATCACAAGGCCGGTCCCAGACTTAAAATCTCCCGGGACAGAGGTGCCATATCATCATAAGACGATCATACGTCCAGTACCGCAAGGTGCATTATTCAGCAAGTGCTTGAACTACACATTTTGTACGTTATAGAATACATACAGGTACCACGTAGTTCAAAAGCTACTTTTTCTCGCACCGCACACCTGCGTTTACCTAACGTCCTGCCTGCCATGGATCTAGTCCGGTGTTATGCGCCAATGTCGTGACGCTGGCTGGTAAATCAGGTTCAAATTGCGAAGAAATACGTTGGTGCAAAATTGCCATGGTTAATAGTTTTGGAAATTGTGCCCACATTTGCTTGGGTAACAACTGCAAATATATTGATACTTAAAGGAAGACGTAACACCACGATACGCCTGTGCTGCTTTCATGGATCTTCCTCTCCATGCAGGAATATTGCAGTCGAGCTGGGTTTCACGAACGGCGATAGACCACTCTCCGGACCATTCTGCTGAGCTACGGCCGGTACATTCGCCTACAGCGCGTATCTGGTTCCGTGTTTCCGTCTGCCGGATCGCTTACATTTCATATAAACGCCTAAAAGCGTCCCAGAACGGACGGGGCCTAGGAATGCGTGCAACTGCGCACACCGACCCACACTAGCCCCGGCTACCGTCCGTTTTCTCCCGCGTCAGAAGCCGATAGTCTTGTCTCGCTGCGACACGGAGTTGGGAGATGCCGACGCGTTTTCGACTCGTCTTGTTCAGCTTTTCCGTACTTTGACAATGCTACGTTTTCCATTCGGGTCGAATGTGAAGGCGACATGGTGGGACCCTGCGACTGCTTGCACGAAAACACCAAATAGTTCGTACAAAACACGGCTTTCGTGTAGTTACGCTCCTTGATGCTGAAGATCAAACAAACCTGAGACCAATGGTTGCTAAGATATTGGCTTCCAAAAAATCTTAACAAACGTGCTAGGCCCATCACACTGAACATTTCCCGAAATTTCGAATTTTGTTTTCCGAAATTCCCGAAAAAGGAGATTCACCCGACCTACGGCCCCGAATTCACCCAATCGACCCACCGCCTACGACGTCAGTAACGCCGTTAATTTGCACCAGCGCCCAACGTGGAACCGCCACGTCAAAAATTACATTTCAAGAGCGGTTCACGTCTGCTAAGGTTTGGAGCTAAAATGTTCTGCGGGTTCCGTCTATACTTGCTAAGATGGCCCGAGCCTACCGAAGTAGCCACCACCGTTCGTTCTCCGACCGAACCCCTCCACTCCAGCACGTCCACGTCACGACAGTGGGGACGGTTTTGGCGGTCATCAGTGTTCCTCCCTCCTCCGTTTTGGCGCCGCGAAAACAGTCTCAGCGGTCATCCAGCAGCGATATCGCGGTCTACTCGGCGACGACGCCCGCCGGACGGCGATCTGGCATCGCTCGGTCGTCACCCCCTCCCACCCCCCCCCCCCCCCCCCCCGTGTCCCTGCCGTCGCCTGATCCTGCCCGTGACCCCGGCGTCGCTCGGTCGTCACCCCCTCCCCCCCCCCGTGTTTCTGCCGTCGCCTGATCCTGCCCGTGAGCCCAGCGTCGCTCGACCCTGTGACCCGGGCCGCTCGGCCGCTCGACTGTCCGGCGCCGACCGCAGCTCCGGCAGCCGCCGCCGCCTCCGCCCGTCCGGCCTCGCCGACACACCGACACACACACCCACTTAAAACGAGTATATTTGGAGTGCGACGCGGTCCGACGTACACCGGTCGGCCGCCATCGACCCAGCGGCACCACAGGGCCGCCCCTACAGCTAGCACAGCCAGGGTCGGCAACGCGCGCGCTCGCCGTGCCGATCACAGACAGATGGGAGCCGCGGGCGGCGGCGGCGGGCGGCCATCGGAGGCGGGCAGCGGCGGCGGCTCCGTCTTCAGCCGGCAGCCGGCGGGCCGGCGGCTCCCGTGCGCGTGTGTGTGTGGGTGGGTAGGTGAGGCGGAGGCAGTGTCGGCGCCGGCGTCCGGCGTCGTCAGCTGCCGGCGCCGCTCGTCATGAGCTCGTACACGAGGAACACGCAGCAGATGTTGGGCGTCACGTGGCACAGGTACGGCGTGAGGCCCTTGTACAGTCCGCGCACGCCCTCGTACCTCAGCACGCGCCGGATCACGTCCATAGAGCCGGCGTACTCGACGTGGTGGTCCTGCAGCCGGGCGCGCACCACCTGGTACGGGTACGTCACGCACGCCGCGAAGAGCTTCGAGAGCGCCGCAAACTGAAGATACTCCAGAGTCGACTGAAACGCGGCGGCAGGGTCAGAGTCAGCCTGCTACCGGAGCCGGGAAGGGGCGGGGGGGGGGGGTCAAGTCAACACACTGTCGCGACGCAGAAGCGCAGCTGGGTGTCGTTAAGCGCCGGGCAGATGTAAACGTTGTGTCCCGGCAGACAGCAGAGCCACAGCGCTCCCTGCCGCGGCGTCGCAGGCGCGGGGCGGCGGCGGAGAGCCGGGGACGAGGACCGTGCCGACCGCAGCTTGAGAAAAACCGAGACAGGAGAGGTCGCGGCAAGGGGATTCGGGTCTGGCAGAGGGCGGCCGGGGAAGCTGATCGATCGGGCGGCATTAGATCAGGCTAGCGGAACGGAAAGGAGCCATGGGGATCGTCGGTAATGATCAACGCCCATGCTCTAGTAGCACTGGTAGCAGAACGGCAGCAAAAACGGCGCAAAGGCTCCGCGGGTGGATACGGCTGGGCAGGGCAGCGCCAGTACAGTCAGATCGTGTACTGTACTCGGCAGTACCTTCCAGTACTCGGCAGCACCAGAGGCCTGTCGAGTCACGCATGGACTCGCCAACAACTGCTGACCGGCGGGCGACTCAAGAATGACCGGGCCTGCCATCGCCGAGCCGGCACCTGCCGCCGCCGGTCAGCCGCTATCTCTGCTGACGTCAGGCAGACGACAGCCGGCCTGGCCAGCCGGGGCCAGCGCGTCTCCGGACGGGTGCAAGTACCGAGAAGGTCTGCGCCGCGCCGGCGATCGGTGCTCGTTCGACCCACGGCAAGAGCCGCATCAACTGCGCAGCGACTGCACGCGCTGTTATCTGACGCGCTCACCAAAGGGCTTAGCTATGCACATAACCGCGCTCCAAATCAATGCCAGCCCGATATTACCGCTCCCGGGTTTTCCACCGGTAATAGGATTATCAGGAGGTCGCAGTGTTTGCTGCCGTCGTTTAATCGCCGCCCCAAAATTAATTTTCAAGCGTGAAACGACTGCATGAAGCGGCATGCCATGGCTGCATGGCATTGCACCATCCGACCTCATGCCACTGCATGCAATAATGGCGGATTTTACAGCGGGCCACGGACGGGTACGAGTGCCGAGGTCTCATACGGAGCTGACTTCTAGCACTACGTTGCTGCTCAGCCGCACATCGGTCCCTGCGGCATCGGCCAGGGCCGACCGCCGCGTACCCCACGCACTATTGCGTCATGATGTGCGTAGCGGCGCTGCGCCACGCGGCCTAGTTCAAGCCATGGCACCGGCTCGCGGCGCGCGGCTCGGAGCGCGGCTCTGGCCGGGCGCGGACGCCCTGCTGTTGCCAGGCGGGGCCGGCCGCCAGTCTTGGGGTAGGGGCGGGGGGAGGGGAAGGCAGAGGGCCGGGAGGCGGAGGCTCGTCGCACTGCCGCCTGAGAGCGGTACGGGCGCGGCCGCCGCCGTCGCCGTCAGAGCCACATGTGCACCACGCCGCCGACTGGGTGGAGTGTAAAAACATGCCGACAGGGAACTACTTCACACAGCTTTTTTAGTCAAGTTCAGTGACATTTCGTGTCCAGCAATTCCGCACCCGCGGCGTTAAGGCAGGAGTGCCAGCTCGCGGCTATGGAAATCACAAAGGAAAACGCAGTCTAGGGTCACCATACCGGCCTCGCGTAAATTATTAACAAAGACTGACGCCGTCCGACAACATTCCGGGGCGTATTTCTCGCTGCCATTAATTTCGGCTGAAGTATTCTGCGACTAGCATCAGACTGCTGCTGCTCAGACTGAGTAAACAAATACCTGCATGCCACATGCCATATTCCCAGAACGAGCGTACAATTATGATACCCGACAGCAGCTTTCCGGCCCCAAAACAAACCCGGAGACCCGGACTTTCGAGATGATGCGCGCTAGCTAGCGTGCCCGCGTATACTTTTAAATTTTGTATATTACATGGCGTCAAGAAAAACGCTCCTGAAACAAATACACAGAAACTTGTCCGTTTTCACGATTGTACGGCAGGCTCGGTGGGCCCGCTCCCCGTTACGATCAGTCGCTTTCACGCATCATCATCCATAACACAGAATGCCCTCCTGTGCAGCAGCAGCAGCAGCAGCAGCAGCAGCAGCAGCAGCAGCAGCAGCAGCAGCAGCAGCAGCAGCAGCAGCAGCAGCAGCAGCAGCAGCAGCAGCAGCAGCAGCAGCAGCAGCAGCAGCAGCAGCAGCAAGCAGCAGCAGCAGCAGCAGCAGCAGCAGCAGCAGCAGCAGCAGCAGCAGCAGCATGCTGTCCTCACTGCCTACTGATCACCGGTTCACGGCCATGTCCCCGGCAGCAGCCCCGGGACTTGCCTTGCCCTTCCGACGGCATAACAGCAGGCGATACCGGAGCCCGCCGGTTTACGCCGCCCCCGGCAGCCGCCGCCGCCTCGTTACGGCCACCCTGGCCGCGATTGCGTCAGACGCGGCCAGGCGCGATCACGTGACCTCGGTCGCAGCCTTCTGATTGGCGGAGGCGAGAACACACCCCGGCGGCGGCGCTCGACGGCGGAGCGACAACGGCGGGCGAGAAAGTTACGGGGGTCGGAGCGATCAAACGCATTTTAAATCTTGTTTTTTTTGGAGAGGAGTTGGGGGCCCTTGAACCAACTAAATGCTTTTCGACTCCAGCAGAAGCAGAACTGAGGAAACAATGTTATTTGGCACTTATTCGTTCGGGTGACCACGTATAACGTCATTGATTTTTGAGTTAGCACCATTATGTGGTATAAGCTTTCCATAATCCACAGAAAACCGCCGTTCCAGCGTTCAAAACGCTCCTTAAAAAAAGACGCTGCGGCATGAAGAGAAGGGCAAAGCACTGGAGGCAGGAACGCTGCCGTACAATCGATACATGTGACGTTCTACGCATTAAGTTCGAAATGCTTTTCATATGTGGAGCCAGTCAAGTTGAACCTACCTTTAAAAAATATTAACCAGCTATTTTTATACGCACTCATCCACAGCAATGGCTTGTACAATACATGTAGATGAGAAAGCGCATTCAAAACAAATAGGCGTGTCATTTCCGGGCTGATACATTACGCAGATGGTGATCGGTAGGACTGGCTCACATTCAACCTCCTGAGAGTGATCGGAAGGTCTCCCCTATCATACGCTCCATGCCCAGAATGTAGGCGGCTGCTGGGCTTGCTATGCACAGCTGTGACGCCTTATGATGCGGCGTATGTCGGCCTACCGCGCATCCAGTGGACCAACTGAACGATATCCTGCGTTCCCCTCTGACGCAGGAAATCCCCACATGGCCCTATGCAGGGCACGAGCCAATGTCAGCCGCAACAATTAACGGTCCGGGGCCTGCGGGGCCAAAGCCGGAGGTGCTCCTGCCACTTCCCAGACCGGCGCCCGGGCCGCGCGTGCGCCCGCTCCTCGCCGGGGCTCCGAGGCCACGGCCGCCGCCTGTTCCGGGGGCGGGCGGTCGACCGCGACAGGTGGAAACTTCCCGACACAGCCGGCCTCGGCCGCTGACGTCACGCGCGCACACCCCCGGCGCCGGCCAATCGGCGTGGCCCACTCACCAGCTTGGCATCGATCGTCTTGCCGCGCCGCCGGTTGTAGACGGACTTGAGCTCCTCGTACACCATGAACTGCAGTGCTCCGTGCGACACGCCCCACACGCCCGGGATGAACCCCTGCAACGTACACCCGGTCACGCCGTGCCGCACCACGAAACACTGCCACGCCGCTTCCCACACCACGGCCAAGAAATGCTGAAACCGACACAACTGCCTCCCTCAAACACCGTCACATAGGGGGTCTGGAGCGGATTTCCCACGAAGCCGCACGATGGACCACATGCAGACACCAGAACACACAGGCGAAGGACAAAGTCGCCAGTGCAAACGGAGCAAAGAAGACATCGATTTGTATGAACATTTCACTAACGTGAAATTTTGCTTGCATCACACACTCATATTCGCAAGACGGGCTTTCAAACACCTGTTTTTGTATGCCGCCGTTAAGCAGCAGTTCGAAATCCTACGTCAGTTCCTAAATGATTCCGTTCCCCACCCGGTAGATATGACCGGCCGATTAGCTAAGACGCGCATTACCACCGAAGTAGTGCTTGCAAGAGCCCCTATGACCACCCAATTAGCAAGCGGACCATTTCCCGCCAACGACTTCCATTCACACATAACGCAATCGTCTCCATCCGTCAAACGCAGAGGCATTACGTAACGCACCATATCTCAGCGCGCCAGGGCCTTCCCGGCCGCGGCGTCAGGGCGCCGTCAGCACGCGACCGACCCGTGGAGCCCGGACGGCCCACCTGCGCGGGTCAATGTCGTCCTGACCCGCTGCCGCGTCGGCTGACCTTTGGTATGCCCCCATCAGTGCCGTCATCTGGGACGGTCAATACGGTTCCGGCCTAACCGCGCCAGCTGCTGGCGTCAACAGAGCCTGCCGCCACGCCGGTCGGCCTCTGGCAGGCCGCCACCTGTGCCGTGACCTGGGCAAGTCAATACCGCCCCCGCCCGAGTTCGCCGCGGTCAACAGCCCCCGGGCTGGCCCGACGGGCACCCACCTTGTAGAGGCCGCGCACGCCCTCGTGCCGGTACGTCTTGCGGAAGGCGTCGATCATACCGCCATACTTCTTGCTCTCGGGCAGGCTGGCGGCGTCGGACGAGTACTGCAGACACAGCCTGCAGGGACAGGGGGAGGGGAGGGGCGTGACACGAGGCTCGGGCGGACGTGACGCCGTGCAGTTTGCCGAACGCCGGTGTAACGATCGGCCCGTTCGCCGAGCCATGACCCATGCCGTTGCTGGAGGACACAGCGATGGCGTCAACACAGCCACGAATGACATTATCGAGTTATTTATCGAGTTATGCATCTCGAGGAATGCCACGAAACGGGCAACCCGAGAAACAATGTTGCCCGACACCAAATCTAAGGAGCCCGAAAAGCGCCGAGTTCACGTTCGATGTAGGTCACACCTAGCATGGCAGCTTGCGATCGGCAGCGGTGATATAATGCAGCTATTCTGTTTGCTACACCAGCACACGTAAAGAACTGGCCCTTTCTGAGAGATCGCACGACTCGTACGGGGTCATGCCGTCTAACGGCAGACACCTCGAACAGGGAAAAACGACCAGGAGAAGGCTTTAACGCGTGGAAACCTAACTACCCAAACTCACTTCATCACAGATCTGCCAACCGCTGACAGATAATTGCGGCATAAGGCTCCGTCCACGCCACCTGCCGTCTGATCGGAGGTGACCGAGTCGCTACTGACCTGGTCTTTACCACCCAAATGGGGTTGGTCAGCGCCAGGGTAGCGATGCCGGCCTGGGAGGCGGCCAGCATGTGGCGCGGTGCGCCCAGGTCGCGCCGAGAGTCGCCCTCCTGCATGTACGACTTGATGGAGCCGTAGCTGGGGAGGGTGCGCGGTCAGAGGCGGCGGGCTGCTCCGGCGCAGGCGGCACCACAGGGACACTTCAAGTTCCGAATAGGCCGTCATCGGCTGACTAACGTTAAGTGAATACCTCTACCGGTAGAGTGGATGCTTACATATGAGGCATACGAAATACACATACGACTGACGGCGGTGCCATCTTAAGCGTTCGTAAAAAAAAAAACTATCAAAGAACAACATTTGACAACATGCTGCAACGACATTTGGTGAGCCGTGCTCCAAGTTCACCATATCGAGAGCTGAGAAGCAAGCACAACAAAATACATTGAACAACAGACTTTCAAAAACACAAGCATTAGCTTTTCAGCGTTGTAAGCGAGCTTCATTTTTGTGGTCTCGAGTTCGTACTGGGGACACAGGTAATAACATTGGAAGCAGGTAACATTTGGGAATTAATTGAAAACACAGGTAATAACATCAGAGACTACACCAAGCTCCATCCACGTCCAAAAGTGTGCGCTGCACCTCCTTTACGCAAACGGTCGACTCACAAGAGGAAGTAAAGGCCCCAGGCGGAGCCGGCGCCCCACACGTTGGGCGTCACGCCCCGGTACAGGCCCCGCACACCCTCCGAGCTGAAGATCGTGCCGAACGCGTTCAGCATGCCATTGTAGTGCGGTCGAGATCGGATGACGCCATCGTCAACTGGAACGGGTCGGGCAGTGAGTCCGCCGTCGGCAGCGGCCCGCGCACACACCAGTGCACACATTCGCTAATCGGCGGTTGCGTCGCCTCCGAACAGGTCAACTCGACTGGGCAAAGGATTGGAAATGTGGTTCTCGTGGACCCATATTTCGATGGTCCTGGATTCGGTTTCACATCAATAACCAGTGCGCGCAGACGCCTGGCACCGTTATTTTCGGCGCCAAGCTTCGTTTTAAGGCCACGAAATGGGGAACGTTTGCACAAATAGGATCTCCAGCAGCCAATCTTTATGGGAAAATGCACAAATCACGAAATTTGCAAGGAATACGGAACATGCAACTATTTTCGTCGAGCTGCCTGGTTTTAATTTAAAAAAAATATATTTTCGTGCTAGTCCCATAAGCTTAAAAAATAATCTATCCGCCTTTTCACCACAAACCCAAACATATGTTACGCAACGATTCAAAATTTGAAAAAAACTAACGTAATGGATACAACTCATGCTACAAGAGCATTATATGATTTGCATACCTGGGCAAATGTTTATTAAGCCAAAAGTTAGCGTCGTGTAATGACCGTGTTGGAGACATGTGCACAGCAAAAGCTCGTGAGATTCGTCCGAAAAGGGTCTCAAGAAAAGGTATGCATAGGTCCATTTTCGGGAAGGTTTCTGCTGGATAACGTCCATAAAAGAAAAATGAGGGTACGGGTACCGGGACGTGCAGTGGGGAAGGTTTGCAAAATAGCGTGCCATTGGAAAGCGTTCGTGCAAAAATGGTCGTCCGTGCATCACGTTACACATGGCGGGGGAGTGGAGTTTTAGCGACGTACAACTGAACCGTAACAAGGGATGGAGGGGATTGGAACAGCGCACGTTACCCTCAGTTGCGGTTGCAAATCGTACTGAAACCCTTGAGCAAATATTTTTAACAGGGTAGCCAGGACGGGAGCTTGACCAGCTCCCATAACCAGAACATGACCAGGGGAGGGGATCTAGCCAAAAATGTGTAATGTTATTCATGGATCTCAAGAGCTAAGGGAGCTAGACACACCAAATGCATAGGGTGTGTTGGTCTGTATATGAACTCCCTAAGGTCAAAGTTTGAGGTTCTTAGATTATGACCTTCAGGTCAGATAAGGTCAAACCAGGACAAATTCCAGGTTGATCTCCAAAGGGTCCCTGGAGCCTAGACAACTGTTCTAAACAAACGTTCACATGCTCACCTAAGGTCAGTAACCTAGTTTGACCTTTTGAGATCATGATGACCAAAATCATACAAGACTGCTTTGAGTTTCGCATTTGGATAAGTGACATAGATTACGCGAGGCAGTATGTCCCTAAAAATAATGCTGACCTGGGTCATTTAAGGTCAGTGACATATTCTGACCTTTAAGACATCTGTGGAAGGTGTATAATGCGGTTCCTGTTATCAACGACTTCAACATGAGCATCAGAAACCACCCCATACAAGCCCTAGAGTAATAAAGCACGTTAATTTCGACCTTGGTCTGACCTTCATACCTGACCTTAGTCGATGTAATTTGTTCATTAAATTGTTGTGTTGCCTACAAAAGTATCTCAGAGATGTATGGATTCGTCTAACATCCCACTGTTACATCAGACTGAACGCTTCCCTAGAAATTGACTTCGCTGAAACCATGGCCTAACTTTGACCTGCCATAGGTTAGCAACTTTACAAGTACAGCTTAAGTTTTGACGCCAGATGATTCGCTATGAAATTGTATACAGTTATGCAAAATTTGGTCAGGCTATGTCATGGCGTTCAGACATCATTCAGGAAAAAACCTTTGGGGGTCAATTTGACCCCCACCAGAGCGCACGCTTAAGCACAAATTTCATGTTAGAAACACTGCTTGATAGATGCCAGCATCGTAGAAAGCTAACTATGAATAAGCTGCATTTGCATGGAGAATGCTCATTGCAGAGAGATATTGCTTGATATTTACATGTTACCTTATCCCTTAACAATATACTCCTGCAGATTGTTTATGCCATGAAGAGTAATTGACAGCAGGCAGGAAATTTGTTTGCTTGAGCATAATTATATCAACAGGGGCTGGGCTTGAGGAGGCTGGGCTTGAGAAGGTTTTCATTCAATCTTCTGTTCAATGAGCAGAGCATAAAAGTTATACATCTTCAACCACAGGAACTTACCAACACCCAAAAGGCTGCAATTTTTGCTAGTTGCCTGCAGCAGTAACATTACAGCCCCCGCATTTTAGTTGGCCTAAAATGCTGGTGCTGGTCTCGTAATGCAAGTACTCCCAGGTGGTACCTGACTCTCAATGACTAATGACTATGTGGCCAGGCTTTTGAGGAAAGAGTGCAGCATGAAGTCCACATTCCTGACAAGAAATATAGCATATCAAGTATCAGTGTGTCACAGCTTTCTGCACATCTAACACAATCATATTTTTGGGTCAGGGTGTACTTTCCTACCTAACGTTAGAAAAAATCATTGTACACCATTCGTCGTGTTTAAGGCATGACATATCGTAAATAATCTCAAAACAGGTAGAATCATGCTCCTACCTTCGAATTTCAATAACTTCGATGGCGGGCCCCCGAGCGCCGCGCGCACCGCACCGCCTGGACTCCCCAGCGCCGTTTCCGCGTTGCCGTTGCGTAAATACAATATTTCTGCGTACCAAGAACTGTACAAAATGTACGGGACCAAAGTAAACCATTCGTCATGTTTAAGGCAGGACATATCGTAAATAATCACAAAACAGGTAGATTAATGATCTTAGCTTCAATTTTTTTATAATTACGATGGCGAGCTCCCAAGCGCCGCACACACACAGCACCCGCGACACCGGCGCCATTATCGCTCGGGTCACAACATTACTGCGAACCATAAAAATGTACCGGGACAAGGTAGCAAGAATCCATGAAATTTGATCCTCGACGCCAACGGGACCATGGGTTGCAGGGGGATTGGGTGGGGAATGTAAAGCAAAATGAGAACATGGCAGCTAAATAAAAGCTCACTATATGGCACCTATATATGGCATGGAACATGGATGCCAATGAGATGCTGGGTTGAAGGGGATATAGGGTGGGGAGGTTAGGTTAGGTTAGGTTAGGTTAGGTTAGGTTAGGTTAGGTTAGGTTAGGTTAGGTTAGGTTAGGTTAGGTTAGGCTAGGTTAGGTAAGGTTAGTTAGGTTAGGGTAGGGTAGGGTAGGTCAGCTTAGCTAAGCTTAGGTTCTGGTCTATTCTCAGGTTAGGTTAGGTTAGGTTAGGTTAGGTTAGGTTAGGTTGGGTTGGGTTGGGTTGGGTTGGGTTAGGTTAGGTTAGGTTAGGTTAGGTTAGGTTAGGTTAGGTTAGGTTAGGTTAGGTTAGGTTAGGTTAGGTTAGATCAGGTCAGGTCAGGCTAGCTTAGCTTAGCTTAGCTTAGGTTCTGGTCTATTCTCAGTTAGGTTAGGTTAGGTTAGGTTAGGTTAGGTTAGGTTTGGCTAGTTTAGGATATGTTCTGGACTATTCTGGCCTGCGTGTTTCATAAATGTACCTAAACTCGATAAGAAACGATTTTGGTTGCTTTATTATTGTTACCTTGGTCCCGTACATGTTTTATGGTTCTTGATAAGCAGAAATATTGTGCTTTCGCAACAACGCAGAAACGGCGCTTGGAAGTCGAGGCAGTGCGGTGCGGGGCGTGCGGCGCTCGGGAGCTCGCTATCGTATTTATTAAAATTCGAGGGTAGGAGCATGATTCTATCTGTTTTGAAATTATTTACGATATGTTCCGCCTCAAACACGACGAATGGTTTACCTTGGTCCCGTGCATTTTGTAGAGTTCTTGGTAAGCAGAAATATTGTATTTACGCAACGGCAACCCAGAAACGGCGCTGGGGAGTCCAGGCGGTGCGGTGCGCGCGGCGCTCGGGGGCCCGCCATCAAAGTTATTGAAATTCGAAGGTAGGAGCATGATTCTACCTGTTTTGATATCATTTACGATATGTGCCGCCTTGAACACGACGAATGGTGTGCAATGATTTTTTCTAATGTTAGGTAGGAAAGTACACCTACACCACCAATTTTCTTTTTATCCATTAAAGATGCTAATAGGTGTTGTTCATGTACAAAATTCACCATTGATGATCAAATATACCTATAGCAATTCATCAGTACTGCAGCTTGAATACGAGACCAGGCTTCCAGCTTCCTATGTTCTAGGATGGCACTAGCATTATCAAACAGACAAAGTCAGTTATCAAATTACTCATAATGAGTTAACAAATTAAGGAACAATATCCACTGCAACATGGGAGTTTTCCTGACACTGCTTCCATTGAATTGTGACAAATTAGATCTATCACAAAAATGGATGCTGATCAGAATTTCCAAATAGTTTTTACAACAGGGTGTTGGATACTACAGTGCTACAAGCTGCTGTTAATACAACAGTAAGTGACCAAGCCATAGGGCACATACCACTATGCTTTGAGGATACAGTAGCATCATGACATCAACATAAAGCTAATTCCATTCAAATACTAGTCGAACAGATTCTCACCTGCAAATCTTATTTTGATGAGATCCAGTGGATGAAGAATTAATGTTGAGGCAACTCCACCTGCCATCCCAGCCAACAAATGTTCATATCGGAGGGATGACAACAAACTTCTTCGAACAGGAGCCGACTTCTGTGCCTGAGCGGGAGTCCTTTCTGACATGTTGAAAAGCTACACACCTGCAAAACTATATCACAGACTGTAGAAAGTACTCTACTTGTAGCTTGAATTAATGCAATTTATCATGAACTACCACTAGACGTAGCTTTCAGGCAGATAGTATTGCAAGGCATAGGGTGTGCAGCGGAGAAACGAGTCTTCAACTCCATCTTCACGGCTCCGAACAGCACCAGATGGCAGCTTTCTTTGACTGTGACGAGCGCTAAAAATCGTTTAGTGCGTCAATGACCGCCAAATGCTATTTCTAGACCGGGCTCTATGAGGTGAAGGAAGTCGTGCTTGTAAAAGTGAGCGCAGTGCACCAAGCCGCAGGCCTCCCGCACCACACCCGGGGACGCCTAACACGCGACTGCGGGAGCAACTGTCGACAGCCACCACTCCTCGTCTTCAAACTGCCAAAGCTGACTGCAAAAATCAGCTGACAGTAATCAGCTGGCTTTCCCTAATTCACTGCATCCTTTTGCTGTTGTCAGCGAGTTGCATTGTTTATCGTGCTTGTGATGTTCTCCGTTGTTTATCAAACAAAAAGAAACATTGCAGAACACCCATGGTGTTGTAAGTTGAAATCACGAGGCTGAATACCGCGGGCGAGTTTTTTTTTAAACTTGGCTTGGGTTCAGTGATCTTACCATTTGAACACCCATCAGGCCGTAGATGTTGGTACGTTGACACTTGAAATCACCATAACGTTTACCGTAAACACCCTGACTCCACCAGTGGCAAAGCCAAGGGGGCGTTTGGTGCCACGTCCCCTTCCCCCCCCCCCCCCGTCATGGAGTTGGCTGGGATCCGGCAGGAGAGTTGGATTGGCGGGGAGCACGTGAGGCTTGAGGCCGTAGTACTTTTTGGATGCCTAGTGCTAAGTTCAGACGCCCATGGAACTTCTAAAGCATGAAGCAGGCCCTCAAGGCGTTAAAATTGGATAATGGGCTTGAAAAGATGTCGATTTTGAGGACCGGGACCCTCTCAGCGTACATACCGACGCCTGGCTGGCGCCGCACCGCGTCGGATCATCGACTCATGGTCGGTGCTGGCACGTGAATTTCGGCTTGACGTCGGCCTGACGCCGGAGACATATATATGTAAGATATCTTCCCGACGTCGACGATATAACACCTAGCTGAAATCTGTCAGGCATCGGGAATCCGACATCAGCTATACGCCTCCCCGTCGTCGGCCCGTTTTAGGCCATCCGACATAGGCACGACATCGGTCACGCGACATCTTCTCGACATTCAGCAGGCATCATTTATCCGACGCCGGCTTTACATCTAACCGACGCTGACCAAACCGCAGGCAATAAGCCTAGATCCTCTCGAAGTGGGGCCGGTGCCGATTCTGCGACACCGGACGCACATCGATGGAACGTAAGACCAAATTGACAAAGCCAGCTTAGAGGATTGTTACAAATAGGTCCACAGATATGTGGGGCACGAGGGTAACCATTCTGGGTTATTTCTCTCCCGTCAACGTTCATAGGCCCAGAGCTAAATTTTCAGGAAGTTAAAGGGACGACCAGACATTAAGCGTCGCGCGCGCGACGCAGACTCCACCATTGGCCATTCAAATGCTGCTTGCATCGGCCCGCGAAACTCCGCCATAAACTAACGCGGTCGCTCCTGGCTGGTCCTTTCGGCCAACGCGGACCACGCCCGCATCGAAGTCCGTCCGCTCAGCAGCCGCGCTGTCCCGTCGTCGGTGATGTGCTGGCCCGCGGAGGCCCGCAGATGGCCTCTCTAGAGACCTGGTCCGGAAAAGTCTCTCCAAAGATCTGGTCCGGAGATATCCTCTCCAGAGAAAGCCTCTGCGCGCAATGCCCGTGATGACCTTCTTTGGGCGATGGCTATACTCGGTTGGAGGCCATAGTGTTTCATTATCACCTCGATTCTTTGCATGCATATCAGCGTGCCAACAATGTTCGCTTCCAGTTTGCATAATGCTCCTTATTGTGGGCCGTAAGTTTGAGATGTGCTTTCCCAAGGTGGTGTATAGTTTGGTGTATACCTTCACCAATGTTTGACAAAGCCACCCCTGCGTAACTTTTGTTTATTACCCGATCTATTCTTCTCCTCAAAGGTGACTGCAGGCATTCCACAACATGCCAAACGCAACAGTTGTATAAAAGACGCACCAGATAAAAGGCCCGAAAATCCCCTTCTATCAGGTAGTTGGGTCGACTATTGCCCCAGACATTATGCACCTCCTCGAGCCGGCTGTGCAGCGAGGACGGTCGTGCCGCGCCAGCCCGGCCGGCTGGGGGCGCCGCCGGCGGCGGGCGTCCTGAGGAGAGTGACTACCGCCGGCTCCGGTCACTCAGAAGCGCGACCCAGCCGAGCGGTGAACGCTGAAACGAGCCCGGCCGTCAGTGACGCTCACGCGTGGCCATGACGTCAACACTGGCTGTGTCGGAGACAGACACTAGCCCGGACATGGTCACCGGGCGTCTGCCGGCGACTGGAACCGCGGCCACGACACGGTCACTTGGTCACGTGGTATGTCCCAATGCCAAAAACGTCATGGTCATCGGGCATGCGTCAACGTCACTGACTCAACACAGCCACAAAGGTTGGGCCAGCGACATTGCATCTCACAGCGACCACTGCATGACTAAAAGCGCCGCACAGCGACCCCATCCGATCACTGAGCACCTGCCAGCGTTAACATTCAGGTACGGTCGCTGGTCGCGTCTTAGTGTCGAAAGCATGCACGCACTGGTCGCATCAGTCGTGTCGTGGGGAAGATGTGTCCACATTGGTTTTGCCGTGTCGCAGTATCGCAGTGCGCGAGCGTCGTTCGTAGCAGGTACGGGGTTTAATCCAGCCAACAGACCCAGCGCTGGGCGTAGGATTTTGCGAAGCGGTTTTGTCCATAGCAGGGTCGACTTGGAGCAAGGCACGTGCCAGTACTCGGTGCCACACACTCTGGCCTGATCAGGTCATTGGACGTGCCAAGGCCTTACTCACTCACCATCTGGCCCCAAAGCAAGATATAACCACGAAATAAATTCAGGTGATAGCCTGGTATCCCAGGAATTCACTGACATTCGGTTTGATCGCTCGAGATCAACCATCGATACAACAAATTGGGTTATCCTCAACGCCTCGGAGAAAACATGAAAAATACAACTTAACAGAGTCTAGCACAACAAAAAAGACACCATTTGCGGCTATTGCGCAACTTAAACTGCATTTGCTGTGCAAACTGTCCCAGAGCCTTCCAAGATGACGTCAAGGCCAAGTGACCTGACGCGACCTTGGAGCAAAGCTGCTTGAAAAACAAGCGCGACGAAAGTACCGCCAATGGCGCTAAACTGTGGCGCCGCCAGCTGTCGCTTCTTCGTGGCGCCGGAAACCCTGGTCGGGTGGTGGCTGCCCGGCGCCCGGCGGGGACAGCTGTGGCCTGACACGCACACAGTCAGTGGTGCGTGGTCGCTGTGTAACGGTGGCGTCACATACTGATACGGTCAATGCGTCACGCTCAGTGTCACACACGGCAGTCACTGGATCCGTGTCAGCGTCACGCGGCACAACTTCGCGTCAGATAACGACAGAAAGTGCAGCGCGCAGGCGTCACCCAGCGGCGCATGGGGATCTGACGCCTTCTGCAGCCTGCCACAGGTACAACACTCCAACCCCAGTGCAATGCACCCGCAGATAGCGACAGCCTTTCCACGAGAGCAAGCTAGCGACGAAACGATACGTGTGCAACCATGCTTTTAAGACATAAGGTTGCCGTAAAATCAAGGGGTGAAGTCAGGCTATGAGCTAGAGACAAATCAGGATTTCAGCCTTCAAAATGTAATCATGGGAAAGCCTGACCTGAAGATGATATTCTACATGAGAAAACGTAAAAAGCGTGCATTCTACGGGCAAAATTGAGGCAAAAAACGTATTCTGATAAAATCGGAGACCGTATTCCCCAGTAGTTACACACACAGTTCAGTCTACTACCTAGATCACAAGGAAAAAGGACAGCGTCAGTGAAAACGAAAGCAATTCTAACATCCCTTGGCTTAACAATTGATTTCGCAAGTAAAACATGTGCATTTGGACAGTGAACTAGAACGCGGCCGCATTTGGAAGCAAGATGAGTGTTTCACGTGCGCTTGTCACCAGTGCTTATGCTGCAGACAATGTAATAATAGCCCCTGTACGCTATGTGATATGTAGTGTCTGCATAAATTGGGTTCATGCATCCTAACCGGGCACAATTTAGAGTTTGCTTGGCTGTGCCAAAAGGGCATTTGCCAGCGATAGGTCGTTTAATGCCAACAGCGCCAAAACGCATTGCCAGCCATAGGTCGATTAGTACCACCAGCAGCTGTATTGGGTAAGTGTAGTACCCCAAAGCTCGGTAAAAGCCAACTAGCACAAGGCTGGAAATCTCACGAAACAGCTTGGGATCGGGGAAAACTCTTACACGGCCAAATAACCAGCCATCACATTCCATGACAACTCCATCTCGTGGACATTGCCCTAGCTGATGGTAGGTGGTACAGATGACGTTGTAGTCCAGACAGAACCACTCTTCATTGGGTCCGTTTGATGGCGATAATGCAAACACACCCTATGAAGAGTAGTTCAAATGCGTGAGAATATTTCAATAGTGAACTTTTTCTACTATTCCACTAGTGAAACGCCAATGATAGTGAACAGTCCGCCCGGAAATCCAAGATGTTTGGCACTGCTACACTTGACAGTCGGTCCAAGCTGATCAGCTCAGACGGTCTAGTGGGGCTGACAGAGCCTGGATCTACTACGGACAAGTGACATCGCCATGCTCGATGTAAACCCGCGCCTGTGCAAGTCTCCTGCACCGGAAGCTGAACGCTGACTCTTTCGCCCCGAAGACAAACACTTGGACTAGCTGCTGACGAACGAGCCCGGCCATGGTCACAAGACGAAGCTAACAACAGCCAGTGGCTACACAAGCTTACAGGTGACAACACACGACGCTCTACACCGAACTAGCGATTAGTGGTGTTGGTAAGTACCCACGAACACCACCCAGGGACGTCCACGGAAACCCAAGCAGACATGAGCGATACGACGTTACCCGAGAATGGATTGTCGATTACCTCGTTTAAACAAACATAACTAGATCCTTACATTTGGCGCTTTCAAATATCTTATTGATATTGGCAAAGACGGCGTCGGGCTTCTGTGAGGCGTCCACAGTGGCAAGGAGACCTGCGGAGAGGACGAGCAATCAAAAGTCGGGGTCCCGGAGAGCGGGGTGAGTTGTCATATCATATTTGACACGACAGGAGGTAACGGTGGCAGGGGGACCTACTAGAGTGTCATACACATCTGGGACCCAACAATAGCGAACCCACACAACACAACAGGTGATGTTGTCAAATATGCTTGTGTTGTGCACCATGTTCAAACCAGCTACGTCATAGATTTTTAAAAGAAAATACAAGTAGTTACTTTTTCAACACTGGCTATTTTGGGCAGCTCGATCTTCCTAGCCATCCCATACTTGGTTTTCTTGTTCGTTGTTTTGGCATTGTTTCTTTTATTAAAGCCCCATCACCCGACGAGGTATTGGAGCCGAGTGCCTCGGCAGGCGGCCGTGAGCGGGATCTTACTCCAGGCACTTGATAGACCTCCGAAAGGAGCGTGACGCCCGTCATCGCGTCCCCTTTCATGGAGCACCAGCGGCTAGAATATTTTGTTAGGGTCGAGAAACTACGGCGCAGCTGTGATTCGAGCCCAGACCCTCACGCAAGAGCCGGTGGCGCTAACCACTCGGCCATTACGTCCTCGTAAAGCGAATGAGTTCTCCGAGCGCACCTTTGCCACTGTAGTAGTCACAGAGTGGTTTGGTCTGCTTGTGGTAGGAGGCGAGTCGCTTCTTCAGCGCCTCGGCGTTATCGTCGGACCGCCGCATCAACGGCTCGCCGGTCACCTGCCGACAACGAGGTCAGGGTCAGAAAGTCACCTATAGCATTGCAGTCAGAGCGTCACCCACGAGGTCACAGTCGGAACATCACCCACGAAGTCACGGTCAGAGCGTCATCCACGGGGTCGGTCGGAGCGTCATCCACGAGGTCACGGTCAGAGCGTCATCCACGGGGTCACAGTCGGAGCGTCATACACGGGGTCACGGTCAGAGCGTCACCCACGAGGTCACGGTCAGAGCGTCACCCACGAGGTCACGGCCGGAGCGTCACCAAGGGCCACGGTCAGAGCCTCACCCACGGGGTCACGGTCAGAGCGTCACCCACGAGGTCACGGTCGGAGCGTCACCAAGGGCCACGGTCAGAGCCTCACCCACGGGGTCCAAGTCAGAGCGTCACCCACGAGGTCACGGTCAGAGCGTCACCCACGAGGTCACGGTCAGAGCCTCACCCACGGGGTCACGGTCAGAGCCTCACCCACGGGGTCACGGTTAGAGCGTCACCCATGAGGTCACAGTCAGAGCGTCACCCACGGGATCACGGTCAGAGCGTCACCCACGGGGCCACTGTCAGAGCGTCACCCACAAGGTCACGGTCAGAGCGTCACCCACGAGGTCACGGTCAGAAAGTCACCCACGAGGTCACGGTCGGAGCGTCACCAAGGGCCACGGTCAGAACCTCACCCACGGGGTCAAGGTCAGAGCGTCACCCACGCGGTCACGGTCGGAGCGTCACCAAGGGCCACGGTCAGAGCTTCACCCACGGGGTCCAAGTCAGAGCGTCACCCACGAGGTCACGGTCAGAGCGTCACCCACGGGGTCACGGTCAGAGCGTCACCCACGGGTCACGATCAGAGCGTTATCCACGGGGTCATGGTCGGAGCGTCACCCACGAGATCACGGTCAGAGCGTCACCCACGAGGTCCACGGTCGGAGCGTCACCCACGAGATCACGGTCAGAGCGTCACCCACAGCGTCCAAGTCAGAGTGCTACCCACGAGGTCACGGTCAGAGCGTCATCCACGGGGACACAGTCGGAGCGTCACCCACGAGGTCACGGTCAGAGCGTCACCCACGAGGTCACGGTCGGAGCGCCACCCCAGGGTTAACGACAGGGCGTCACCTAAGGGGCCACGGTCAGAGCGTCACCCACAGGTCACGGACAGGGCGTCACGGCAGGAGACCGCCACTCACGTATCAATTTAAAGTTAGAGTATCACCTGTCAATGATAGAACGTTATGAGAATATCAACAGTAAGGCTAGTCACGCGACCACTGATCCCCATGCACGGCAGAAACGCCGCAGACGCGACCGTCCAACCGCTGCGCCGACACCCGCCGCGACCCACCGTTCCGCGCGACACCGCACAGCGCGCCCCACAGCTTACTTACGTCGTCGGTCATGGGCACCCTGGGTGGGTGGAACTCTTCGTGGTAGCTGCGGCCCGAAGCGCGGTGGATGAGCCGGCCCGTGATGCGGCGCACCAGCAGCGAGTCGTCGATGCTGAACTCTACCACCGAGTCCAGCGGCCGGCGGCGCGTCTCCAGCAGCGAGTCCAGCTTCTCCGCCTGCACCACCGTGCGCGGGAAGCCGTCCAGCAGGAAGCCGCGCGCGCACGGCGCCGAGTCCAGGTTGGAGTCGATGAGGCTCACCACCAGTTCGTCGCTCACCAGTTTACCTGCGCAGAGGCCGGCGCTCGTACGGACTCATCGCTCAGCGTACCCACAACAGCGCCTGTTCGACGCAACCGCGCTGGCACCCAGCCAGCACGACAGCAGCCCTGAGGGTATCCCCAGAGAACGGAGGTGTGTCTGGGTCAGACTACAGAGAATACATGTTAAATATGTCCATGCAGCAACGACATTGCAGCCAAGCAAACATACACCATGAAGTAAACCATGAATTCCTGAGCTCTGAATTTGGCACACATGGCACATGTGCCATTCCATGCCAGTTTGTGAAGAGAGCCAACTTTGCAAGGAGGTATGATACTGAGAGGGAAATGGTGCACAAAATTACACCAAAACCTTATCTTCCCAGGTATACTTAAAAAAAACAACAGGGCATATTTTCCTGGGCCTAGTTTGGCTCACACAAGCATGAGGTTCCATGCAACAATGTCACCCTATGTGTGTCCAGCACAGTGGATGAATTTTTGTAGTCTGGTGTCTCAGCCAGGCTAGGCAACCATAAGGGGCATGGCACTTACCTGCATCCATGACCGCTTTGAGCTCCTGACCCAGCTTGGAGCCTGAGGCCACCTCAGCACGCAGCATGTCACCTGTGGAGAGGTGGCACACCCCATAGCTCTTCTGCAGCAGTGGGGCCTGTGTGCCTTTGCCAGAGCCAGGCGGGCCCAGCAGGATGGCATTGATACCAGGATGCTGGCCGCGGGCGGCTGCTGTCTCTGGCGACACCTCAGGCTGTGGCTGCACGGCAGTGGGTGCCATCCTGGTTTACCTGCAGAAGGAAGAAATGTTGAACTGCTTTGTACTGGAATTTGAATTAAATATTTCTTAGAAGAAAATACCAGGCAATCTTTTTAATGACGGCAGCACAGCAGAAATAGTTTTGGACCAAATCTCATAAAACCTGGCACAAATTGAGACAGACACAAATTTATTTGCTGAGTCAATAAATCTTACAGGGTTACCAGCTTGGCTGAGGCACCAGACCTTAGTTGAGTCCATTTGTTGAGCCAAGGACAGACCAGTTACTAGAACCATCAGTGATTTTATGACTTTGTCAAATCCAACCCCATGAAATAGTTGCCAGGATGTCATTACTGCGTGCGATATTTTCGGCGTTATGTTGTTCTATGCACTCTGCCCCGATTAAAACATTCCAAGCTGTACCAATAACCAGAATGTCACATGCGAGCACGAGCGGCGCCTCTGGAATGTACGATTTGAAGGCACACTAAAAATTATAAAGCTATAAATTTCAAGAAAGTTACGCAATGTAACAGCTGGACACATCACCTACGTGCCGGGGCGGTTAGAAAAGGACCGGAACCGAATGTGAATATATGTCTACAAAACTGACGCCTTTGTGACTTGGTTCCAGCGCTGCTGACAAGACAGTCATGTAAAGACAGAAAATGGCGTTTTTCTACCCACAAAACTATATTCCTTCGTCTAAAAAAGCCAACAATGGTTCAAACTTCAAAACTAATATTTTAAACGATTTTAAGAGCAAATCCATACCTTGATACTTCATTTTTTTATATTTTCTCTGACCATATCAAGGAAAAACCTTCACCTCAAAAGCAAAGTTAGTGTATGATGACGCAATATAGCTTATGCTGACTGCCAACTTTTAGTGCTTCTTCCATGATGCAGTCCGAAATGTTTCTAGAGATTTTCGAGAGAACAGTAGTAGGGTTGGGGAGTTGTGCTGTATGTCGTTTGCGTTCTCGTTGTTTGCCATTGCTGATGCGCAGCTTGTCTTTGGCCAAAGCGATAGGCACGCCCTGGTTTGATACATCTACCTAAATATCGTGCGTATTCAAAAGGAAAAATATGTTATAAGTGCCATACAGGCCGTTAAAACTAGTAGGTTAGGATATTGTATGGCCATTGAAAATGTTCAAGAAAAATGGTGGATATTCCCGTCTTGACGCTCCATTGAGGTGTGTGGATGACTGTTGAGGTAACATTTCCAGAACGTCTAAGTGTTCACTGAATGGCGTGGACATGGAAAATGCAACTTTGGCTCATTCATTATATCACATGGTTCCCCAGAATCGGATGTATCTGCCTATGACAAACAGCTGTTACAACATAATCAGAAACAATCTGTATTGTTGTAAAGTTCTCTTTGCTATAACCTATTAATCATGCTGTTGATAAGTTATCAGGCCATCAGTTAACTTGTGTTGTCAACAGCTCCCTTCTTAGATTTAACTGCAAACTTGTGTGTTGTGTAATTTGTGTCTGCAGATATTTGACATTTTCTGTATTACTGTCTACAGTCATTTAAGTATGCTGGTGACAAACTATTAGCTCATCAGTTTTCTTGTGCTTCTTGTAATGGCCACCACCACTACTTTTGTAGATTTAATCAAAACTTTTTGATCAAATAGAGTTCTATTATTGCCCATGCTGAGGAGCATCTATATGAGCCCTGCCCCCCTCTATTCATTGGTGAGATTCCAGGTAAACTGAAGAATTTAGGGACAAGAGCTGAATATGTTATACTGCTTGATACCTATGATCTATCTTACCCCCTGTCACATGACTTAGCAGCCACTGTAGCCACTAACCACAAGCCATGCTAGTAGAAGTTTGAGCAAATAGAGAGAGCAAAGTAGCTCAAACCATCTAACCATGGGAAGGTGAATCTGAAGATATGTTCTCAAACCAACTAAACTACAGGGACAGACATGCAACCATGCCATTGTATATATATTTTGGGGTGACAAGTCACATATTTGGTTCAGTGCTCGGAGTACTTGCTGAAAAAGTTAAATACACTATAACTTGACACTCTGTTATATTTATGCCAAATATTAAAGTAATTATAGTGACAGAGGATATCTTATATCATTGTTTTTGTTTCCTAAATGAATGGTGGAGTGTCATTTTCATAAGCAGTTCCTCACAAGAACCACTAAGGGAGCCAGGACACTGATCTCCCCAAAACATGAAGGGAATGTTTCACATATGAAGATTTGAAGCAAGCACCAAATATGATAAAACAAGCTCACTTATAACTCTTGGCATTCTTAAATGGAGACTGCTCTAGGCAACACAATTTCCCTGTTCAGTAGATATGTTCCTCAATATGCCATTTTTTATTATATCATCATGCCTCCCACAACATTGATTGAGAGACAATTGGCACCAGTTTGATCTGGAAATTGTGCTCATGAAGGCTGGATATGAACAATAGACCATTTTGTTTCTATTTGCTGTGATCACCACATGGTTTATGGGATGGTAGGATTTTAATGCTGTTATTGTGATGTTGCAAATGCCAAGGTAGCATTGAAATACTCTTCTTGATGTGTCTTTCCTCATTTTTACAGGTGTGAAGCTCAGAAACTAGAGGGGTTTAGGTCTTAAGAATGGCAGAGTTGTGAACTGCACCAAAAGGTTTTGTAGATGGCTGTTTCAGTCAAAACTTCATACAAATGTGGAAGGTTTTCTTCAGGCCTTCATAGTAGTAATGATGGTGATTTGGTGATTTTTTTGTGATTTAGGGCTTATTTTTGGTGATTTGGGGCATTTGGCAACTTTTTGGTGATTTGGGGCTTACATTCAGATGGCCATGACAAGATTTAAGGCAGGGCTGTGGCCCCTTCAAAGTGAGCAAAACTTTCTCTAATCCTGATTTTTGACCATACAGGATGCATAAACATGTCTTTGGTTGATAACATGACTGATAACATGACTGACATGTCAAATTTGTCTCAAATAGGCTGTTTATGATTGGTTACCAAGAGTCCATGTAAGATGAGGTCTAAACAGCAAACTGCATTGTCATTATATTGTGCACCTGAGCTAAATTGTGGAGTTACTGGAAATTGAAACACTGCCTTTGAAGTCTAGGTCAATATTTGTCTGCAAACTGTTTAAACATGAAGCAGAGAGTTGTCATGCTTAAGGCTGGAATTAATAGATTGGAAGGAATTTACATAAGCACACTTAAGCTCATGCTTTTTCAGGCTGAGATTATGGCAGTAAATTTGAACACAATAGGACTGTTATAGAGTGCATGGGTTGTTTGCTTCTGCTCCCCTGTACAAATTTGTGGTCATTGACAGTCTGCACAGCCCAGCTTGACTTGCAATGTTGCAACTTCACTGGCATGAAATGATTATCCAATGCTCACTCATAGTTGTGGATTCTGTTGAGCACTAGCAGCTATGGCAAATCTCAAAAATGATTGGAGATGGGCTCCAACATTAAGTTTTCACCTTTTGGCATTTGCTCTACACATTGCCACATTCATGATGGTAAGTTGTGAAACTATTGGAGTTCGGCTTCCCACCCCACCAAAGAATATGAAGCACTCCCAGCTGTTACATCACCTTCCTCAATTTCAGGAGGTCTGATTACTCCCAGTACAGCGCTGAATCCAGCCGGGATAGTGCTGGCCAAACCTTCCACTTCTCATCACTGGCAGTAGATAGTGCAGATGAAGAGCTGCCAGACCAGGAATATGAACTGCGCTCCAGGGGCAGTGGCGTCACATTGTCTTCCCAAGCCAACTCACAGCCTGGAGAGCGAAAGGAGTACATCACACATGATGTGGCCACGGATGACACCTTGCAGACCATCTCCATCAAATACAGTGTGCCCGTGAGTTGTATGTGAAGTTAACATGTGACCATATCGTTTTTGTGTTATTCAAAGACTGTTATTTTGCAGCCAGGCTTCAGTTTCTTTTGTGTGGGGAAGGACCAGTGGCAGGTGCGTAGCAATATATAGAAGCCATGGTTGTAACATGAAACTGGAACACGATGTCACTTTTGTCTTTTGATTTATAGGCGATGTATGACCGCTCAATCAGAGCACCCGAAAGTCCCAATTATGAATACTGCTACTACTACGGAGTTGCAATGCCAGTGACAACTAGCCAAAGCAGTTGTAAGATGAGACTGCCTTTAAAGTTAGTTCTCATGACATGTTCTTTACGTGTAGTCATTTACTGGAGCTGTCCATAAATTGCATGACAAATGGGACATAAGGGTGAGGGGGTTGGTAGAGCATAATGGAAGCTTCACAAGGGTGGGAGGGATAGGTTTTAGACACCATAGCGTTACGCTGAGGTGTACTCGCGAATCATACTAAAATATTTTAAAAAACAGCATGATAGTGTGTAGATTGTATGGCTGAACGCTGCTGGCTTCGTGTCGTGACAGGAGACAAGGCCATTATTTGTTTGACGTCTCTAGCTCAATTTAGGGCCAGGCGTATGTTGCGCTTAACACAGTGTAACCGGGGGAGGGAGGGTCGCAGAAGGGCTAAAAATAGAACAAGTAATTTATGGACGTCCTCTATGGCAGCAAAATACAGCGAATCATGTTAAGCTGGCCACGATGCTTCGTGTTATTCAGGTATCATGCGGTGCAGGTTTGATGGCGTTTACACTTAGGCTAGGTCAGAGCATAATCCAACTTATTGTGACACTAATCACCTAATGAACCTGTCATGTAAGGACCAGCATCCTGGTCGTGTTCTCTGTTCTGTGGCCGCCAGCCGCTGACGGAGCAGTGACAGGCCGCCCTGGGCGTGGCTTCGCCCGAGCACCCAACGGTACCCGAAACCACACGCCACATTGACTGACGGGCTGAGTTGGCCTGCTGCCGTCATATTCCTTGTCTTGATCCCTCATGAAAGTGACTTTCTCCCCATAAATGACTATCATAGATAAGGCCTGACTAAGCAGCGGGATGTGTGCGATGGCACAAAAGTTGGCCATCTCGGCGGCTCAAAACCCTTAACAAGGGCGATATGCCTGCTTGTAAGTTACTGGAACGATGCAGCCGATTGAAGGTTCTCAAATCCAATCAACTGCACCGCGATTGCCACGCCTCGGCCGCCTCTAACGGCGCCGATCGTTCACAGATCGCCGAGCTGAAGCGAGCCAACAACCTGTTCACGGATAAGGAGCTGTACGCGCGCCGCTTCCTTGCGCGTGCCGGTGCGGCCCAACTCGCTGCTGACGGAGCGGCCGGCGGAGCCGCCCACCGAGCTGCTGGTGCGCCTGGACGCCGGCGAGGCGACCGACGCCGACGCCGGCGGCCGGCTGTCGCCGGCGTCGGCCGCCAGCCGCGGCTCGGCCGCCAGCGTCGAGGTGCGCCCGTTCGGCGACGGCGTGCGCGAGGGCCACAAGCTGCTGCGCAACGTGGATCGCGAGTTGTCGGCTGTGCGCGCCAAGGCGAGCGAGCTGCGCGCCGAGGGCGTGCTGGGCGCCGGAGGCCTGGCGGCGGCGACGGGGCCGCTTTGGCCGCCGCCGCCACGGCCGGCCGGCA